GGGGAGGATTCCCTACCCCCACCCAGTGACTTTCATCTGTAACTGTTTCGCGTTACGAGGCCTGTTATTTTCGTGATAAGTCTTATCAGCTTTATCTTCAGCGAGAGGAAGTTTGATTCCCGGGCGGGTCGGAGCGAAACCTTGGGCAAGTTTCCTTACTCCACACACCGCTTGACCTCACAGTAAGTAGGAACCCGGTTATTAGTCAATTGGTGGATCGCTATTCGCTATAATTCCTTCAAAAACTAATAAGAACTTGGTCGCTCAATCCACGACTGTTTGTGGGGACGCTGCTGTGCGCGATTGGCTGCCGCGTTTCACCCACAAAACACACAGTTAATTCACTTTACAGTGTATTCTGTGAAGTGCTTTGAGACTCCTCAGCGACATGTTAAGATGCCGAGTGAAATCCAGATTATTATTATGATGTTGTTAAATGGGAGATCTGTTTTACATCAAAGCCCTTAAAAGTATAGTCATTTGCGGTTTTTATTTGCCACATGTACTGCAGTTCGCAATTACTTAATATCTCAAGTCCAGTAAACTTGACTAAGCTTCCCGTTCTTTGTAGAACTGAAGATAGGATCAACATCATTTCCCCTTCCTGGTAGATATGAAGATAAGATCAACCTCAGGGTTCAGTTTGCTTGAACCGAGAAGTTTAAGACGAGATATATTGTTCTAAGAGGTTTTCAAGAATGTTAAATATGGGGATGGAGCAGGGAATTGGGATCGGAACAGACGGCTCCACTGGAGGAGTTAACGCCAGCCCAGGCTTGATGGGCTAATGGGCCTCCTCCTGTCCTGACCTTCGTACGAGGCGCTTTTCGTGATCAGAAGGGATTTTCTCTGTCCCTCCTGGTGTCCTGGGCAACAGTCCCCCCCAAACAAAATCGGTCCCTCGCTTCATTCACTTCGCCCATCAAAACAAATACACCCGTCAATCCACTTCACAGTATGTTCCGTGAAGCTTTGAGACGTCTCAAAGACGCGATAAGGCTCCGTATCAAATGCAAGGGTTATTATTATTGATGTCTGCAAACTGGCCGTTGCACAGGCCAGCAAAATACACGATCACTACATTCACAGTCACAGCTCGTGAACTGCCGTGAGACGCGGTAAAGGCGCGGATATCGAATGCAAGTACTGTTCTTTCCTCTCAAAGACGTCCTGGCGTTTCATTCAGGAGAAATATTCAGATAAATCCAGGTGTAAATGGGGCCTGAGGTTCTTGCGCAGTACAGTTACAAGTTGCTATGTGTGCCATAATGATTTCGCTGCTCTGAACCGGTTTCTTATCTACGTCCTTGCCTTGTGCAAGATCAGGAAGCGAGTTAACAGTTTCCACTTTATTGCTGGGCTCGTGGCCGGGCGGGTAAGTGGAGTTAGGTTAGAAGATCAGCCATGATCTTATTAAATGGCGGGGCAGGCTCGAGGGGCTGAATGGCCTACTCCTGCTCCTATTTCTTGTGAGCGGACCTGGGTTCGATTCGCGGCGGGGACGAAATGTTGGGCAAGTTTCCCGACTCCACACATCTTTGTTTGCCTGGCAGTAAGTAGGAGCCCGGGTGTTAGTCGATTATCGGGTCGCTTTTCCTGGGGTCATAATTCCTTCAAAAAAAGCATAATAATAATAAAGAGGTCACTTCAATCCACGACTGTTTGTGAGACATTGCTGTGCGCAATTGGCTGCCGCGTTCGCCCACAAATATACAGTCAATTCACTTTACAGTGTGTTCTGTGAAGCGCTTTGGGAACGTCCTCCCGACGTGAAAAGCGCTATATCAAATGCAAGGATTATTATTATTATTAAGCGCAGGTTGGCAAGAGCCAAGGCTTGGGTACCCCAGAGCGTTTCTCTCTCCTGGTGTCCTGGCCAACAATCTCCTTAAAATGACATTGTTGGCCAGGATAGGAATGCTGCCGGACATCTATTTTATATGGAGAGTACCGGTTAGTGTGCTTGGGTTGCCAGCGAGAGACCCGGGTTCGATTCCTGGCAGGGCAAAACATTGGGCAAGTTTCCTTACTCCACACACCTCTGCTGACCTAGCAGGACCCGGTTGTTAGTCGATTGGCGGATTGCTTTCCTGGGGTAATAATCCCTCAATAATCCCTGGTCACTCAATCCACGACCGTTTGTGGGACACCGCTGTGCATAATTGGCTGCCGCATTTTGCCTACAAAACGAACAGTCACTCCACTTTACAATATATTGTGTGAAGCGCTTTGAGATGTCTCAACGACGTGATAAGGCCCCAACATCAAATGCGAGGATGAGTACTATTATCATACAGTACTGGGACGACTGGTAGAGCACAAGTATTAGAGTAGAAGTATAGAGCGTTAGGGATGAGGACTAAAAATGAAATGCAAATTACTTTATGTTTGTTTCTTTCGCTCGCCGCTCTCGGGTGCTGACGCAGCGAGCGTTGTCAGTCCTGCGGGAGGATCTAAGAGAGACAGCTGAGAGCATGGGGGCTTGCGAGATGCAAGAGGGAGACAAGGTACCGGACTGTTGGAGAGGAGCTCAAGCTGAATAGCAAGTAGTATTCAAGGCGTTTTTGCTTTCCGGCTTCTTCCGAGTGTTTTCTCCGGGAACTTTGCCAACACCACAAAATAGATTCCAACGCCAACAACGAGTGGCAACTTGCATTTCTAACAACTTGCATTTACATGGCGCCCCTTCACCTGGATGGCACTGCCTGAAAGGCTGGTGGCCACAGGATCAACGGCAGTTTTCAAACGGGGAATTGGATAGGTACTTGAAAAGGGAAAAAAAAATTGCAAGGGGACGGGGGGGGAAGGGGGGGAAAGAGTAGGGGAGTGGGACTGGTTAGATAGCTCATCCAAAGAGCCGCCACAGGCTCGATGGCCCAAATGGCCTCCTTCCGTGCTGTAATATTCCTTGATTCTATGATTCTAATTATATGCAACACGCACGCGCACGCACACATTGACTTGCTTCTATTTCGTGTGTTGGTGTTGGAATTTGGAGTTAGAAACCGCAGGAACGTACGACGCTCGGCCTCCGACGCCGAATGGCGTAACGTTGCGCTGAGTTCTCGTGGGCTGACGTGAACTTCACGCAGACTGAGTCGTAAAATATTCACCTTTCCCGGAGGCTTCCTCTGCGTGCGTGCGTGTGGTGTCTGCTCGGTGTGTGTTCAGTGAGCGCGCATGTTTGCGTATTGTGTGCAGTTGAGTGCGTTTCTCCGCGTGCTCGTCTCGGATCCCGCCACGTGCAAAAATGGCCTTCTACTCCAACGTCATCTCGGAGGCTAAACACAACCCTAAAGTCCTTTCTTCCACCACCCACTGCCAGGAATCGAACCCAGGTCTCTCGCTGGCAACCCAAGCACACTAACCAGTACGCTACATATAAAATAGATGTCCAGCAATGTTATTTTAAGGAGATTGTTGGCCAGGACACCAGGAGGGAGAAGCACTCTGCCGTCCCCAAGCCTTGGCTCCTGCCAACCTGAGCTTAATACTTTCCGGAAAGATAAGCAAGAAGCCGGGATAGTGTGAATTCCATTCCAACAATCTTCCTATCACTGTAATAATAATCCTTGAGACCGGCGCCTCCCATCCACTACCGCCCATAAAATCCAAATCATTCAGAACTCCGCCGCCCGCGTTCTCACCCGCACCGTACTCCGCTCCCCGATCCCCCCAGTCCCGGCCAGACTGCACCGGCTGCCCGTCCCAGAGAGGATCCACTCAAGATCCTCAACCTTGTATTCAAGTCCCTCCACTCCTCTGCACCCCCCCCCCCTTAACTTTCTGACCTCCTCTCTCCTCAAAACAGTCCCCCGTTGCCTTCGTTCCTCCAGGTGTGGCCTCCTCCTCGTCCCCCGAGTCCTCCGCTCCACCCTCGGCGGCCGTGCCTTCAGCCGCTATGCCCCGAGGCTCTGGAACTCCCTTCCTCGCTCCCTTCGTCTCGTTCCCTCCCTTCCCATTTTCAGGTCTCTGCCGAAGACCTTACTTTTCGACCGCGCCTTCGGTCACCTCCCCCCACCACCCCCCCCCCACCACCCTCGGCCCCGGGATCCGTTACTGCGATGCGCTCTGAGACGCCATCCGGAGTGGAGGGCGCTATATAAATCCAAGTTGTTGTTGTTGAGTATCAGCGTATTGAGTATGTGTGTGCGTTGAGTGAGTGTGTGTTGAGTATGTGTGTGTGTGTACGTGTTGTATGTATGTTGGGCAGCTATTGAGTGTTGTTTGTATTGCAAGGCTTGCCTATCTAATCTGCAAGATTACTTTCTCTATCGCTGAGACCAAAGTTGAATCAAAGCCGCCTGGTGATTCAGACTTCACGGTTATTTCAAAGATTTGCGCAATACCTGTGACACCGTGGCATTTCATCCGATTCCAGGCAGGTGTGCAAAACCACAGGCAAGTTTGCTCACATCCATCCCACACATCGCTGTCTACCTCGCAATAAATTGGAACCTGGTCGGTTGGTGGATCACTTTCCAACTGGGATGGGTAGAACTTGCGTTCTCCTGGGCCCCCCGTGGCTTGCGTTTCTTCCCGGGTGCCGCGTAGGACTTGCTGAAATGGCCAACGCTCTCCCCACCGTTAGTTTTCTCTTGCGAACCGTTGTCGTTGATGCAACAATATGGAGCATTGGTTAGCACGCTTGCTTCGAAACTTCGGGGGAGGTTTCCTTACTCCGCACGTCTCTGCTTACCTCGCAGTGAGTCAGTCGGTTGTCAGTCGGACAGATGTAATGACAATAATCCTTGCATTTAAGGCAGTCGATGGTTCGCTTTACGGGGGTAATAATCCCTCAAAGAAACAAAAATCCACCGCTGTTTGTGGGACACTGCTGTGCGCAACAGGCAGCTGCGTTTCGCCCAGAAAATACAGTCACGTCCACTCTGCAGCATGTTCTGTGACGTGTTTTGAGACAACCCGACGACGTGATAAGGCGCCATATCAAATGCAGGGATTATTACTAATATTATTATCGTTTCCATCTCTCTTTGCAGCATGAATGCGACGGCACGTTGACAAAATTCCACACAGCTGTGGAGGTGCAGCTACAAACAACCATGGTACGTGATCACTGTGCGAGAAACACGCTGAGCGCCTTGTTTCGCTGTGTGTGGAGTCGGGGCAGGCGCTATCCTGTGTGCGGTTTCATTCTTCGTGTGACCACACAAAGCGTGTAACAAGCATCGGATAAAATCCTTGGGTAAACGTGTAGCCAGAGAGCAGAGAATGGGATTAGAGTAGAGAGCTGCAGTGAGGGAGTGAGCCCCAGCACAGACACGACGGAGATAGAGAGAGAGAGAGAGAGAGAGCGCAGGGAATGGGGTTAGAGTAGAGAGCTCCAGTGGGGGAGCGAGCCCCAGCACAGACACGATAGGGAGAGAGAGAGAGCAGGGAATGGGGTTAGAGTAGAGTAGAGAGCTCCAGTGGGGGAGCGAGCCCCAGCACAGACGATGGGGAGAGAGAGAGAGAGAGAGAGAGCAGGGAATGGGGTTATTGTAGTAAAACTGCTAGTCTTGAAAGCGCTGATTTGATTTCATTTGTACGTCACCTCATGTGTCCTATCTTTATTGAAACACTAAAGCCCCCGTTCCTTTGCGGATCTGTTGCAGATGGTGGGAATACTAATCGGTGCTGCTGTCACCGTGCTGCTGATTGCCCTGATCATTCTCATCGTATACAGAAGGTTTCAACAGCGAAGTAAGTCAGCGTCGATAGAATCCGAGTCTGTTCCGACACAGAAACAACAACAACAACAACAACAACAAATGACCCTTACACAGCGCCTTTCACGTCAGGAGGACACCCCAAGGCGCTGGACAGTCAGGGATTTTGATCCGAGCAGGGGGTAGGGATCAGGAGAGGTGGAGGGCAGGGAGGGTAGGGTAGGAGGGTTGACCGAAGCTGTGGTCGAAGAGGAAGATCTTGAGACGAGCCTTGAGGGAGGCGAGGGAGGGGTCATTGCAGAGGGACTGGATGGGAGGGTGGGGGCAGAGAGGCTGAAGGCCCAATTGACGATGGTGGGGCGGTGGGGGCCGGACGGGGGATGTGGAGCAGGTCAGAAACCTGATCCGACCATCATATCCCGCTGGAGTCCTGTAGTTCAGGTTAGACCACTCGCCTCGCAAGCGAGAGGACCCTGGGTTCGATTCCCGGGCGGATCAGGGCGAAAAGTTGGGCAAAGTTTCCTTACTCCACACACTCCTCCGTTTGCCGAGCAACAAGGAACAAGCAACAAGGAGAAACCTGGTTGTTAGTCCTGTAGCTCAGTGGTTAGAGCACTCGCTTTGTAAGCGAGAGACCTGAGTTCAATTCCAGTCAGGGCCAAACCTTGGGCAAGTTTCCTTACTCCACACAGAGCCTAATAATAATCCCTCCAAAACTAAAAACAATAATTAAATTGGTCATTTTCAATCTACGACTGTTTGTGGGACATTGCTGTGCGCAATTGGCTGCCGCGTTCGCCCACAAATATACAGTCAATTCACTTTACAGTGTGTTCTGTGAAGCGCTTTGGGACGTCCTCCTGACGTGAAAAGCGCTATATCAAAATGCAAGGATTATTATTAGTCGATTGGCGGATCGCTTTTCTCAGGGTAATAATGGCTTCAAAATAAATACATAAATAAATAATAATTTGGTCACTCAATCCAGGACCTCCTTACCTCTCCTCGCACCTCCCTACCTCTCCGATCTGCTTAAACACCCCCCCACCCACCCATCCACCACCCGCTGCCTCCCGTTCATCCCTCGACCTCTCCACCATCAGTGGCATTGCCTTCAGGCGCTACGCCCCTAACTACTGGGACTCTACTCTCCCTCAATCCCTCCGCCTTGCCCGCTCCCTCCCCACTTTCAAATCCCGCCTATCCTTCCTTTTGGGTCGTGCTTACGGTCACCTGTCCCCGTGGCTCGGGGTCTGTCGAGCGCTCCAGGACACTACCCCGCGTGAAGGCCGCTGTATAAACTCAAGCTGCTGCTGCTGTTGTTTATTGGCGGGTGATCAATGTGCTTTTCGTGGAGTCCTGTAGCTCAGTGGTTAGAGCACTCGCTTTGCAAGTGAGAGACCTGAGTTCAATTCCAGGCAGAGGGCGAAACCTTGGGCAAGTTTCCTTACTCCACACAGAGCCTAATAATAATCCCTTCAAAAACCAAAAACAATGATAAATCGGTCATTTTCAATCTACGACTGTTTGTGGGACATTGCTGTGCGCAATTGGCTGCCGCGTTCGCCCACAAATATACAGTCAATTCACTTTGCAGTATGTTCTGTGAAGCGCTTTGGGACGTCCTCCCGACGTGAAAAGCGCTATATCAAATGCAAGGATTATTATTATTATTATTATTATTATTTCTCACAGAGGTTCAACCTCAGGAATCGCCAAAGTACAGATTCCGAAAACGCGACAAGGTGATGTTCTATGGACGGAAGATCATGAGAAAGGTTTGTAACTGTAACCGCGTATCCGAAAGCTGTGAACCGCCGAAGATTAACGAAACAAGGTTCAAAGGTGGGAGTCCTGTAGCGCAGTGGTTGGAGCGCTCGCCTCACAAGCGAGAGGACCCGGGTTCGATTCCCGGGCAGGGAGAAACCTTGGGCAATTTCCTTACTCCACTCGCCTCTGTTTCCATCGCAGTAAGTAGGAACCCAGTTGTTGGTCAATTGGCGGATTGCTTTTCTGGGGGTAATAATCCCTTTTAATAAAACAAAAAAAAATATTAATGCTGTCAGTCAATCCATGACTGTTTATGGGACAGTGCTCTACGCAATTGGATGTGCACAAAATATACGATCAATTCTGTGAAGCGCTTTGATATAGCGCTTATCATGTCTTCCAGACGTCTCAAAGCGCTTCACAGAATAGTCTGCAAAGTGAATAGACCATTTCTCCAGCCAGACATTCATGTTTGTTTTGATCACAGCATATTCTGTGAAGCGCTTTGAGACGTCTAGAAGACGTGAAAAGCGCTGTATCAAATGAAAGGATTATTATTATTATTACTCACTTGCACGCGGCACTGGGAGTAATCCAGAGATCACCACCTTTGAGGTCCTACTCTTTAGCTTGTTCCCTGACTTCTGACACTCTCCCTGTAGGATCTCAGCCCTTTTTTTCCCCCGACATCGTGGATCCCATCATGGACTTGGCTTCAGGATGTTCCCCTTCCCCCTGTAGAATGTTTTGCACCCGTTCCGTGGTGTCTTCAGCCCTGTCAACATACATGTGAAACTTTCAGTAATTTGTTTATTTGGGATATTTTTGTGATTGGCTTCTGGGCCGGGCAACAAAGTGCAGTTCATCAAAACTTGAAGCTCCGGCCTCCTGCCTTGTCCCTCGTGCCCTCCGCTCCGCCATTGCTGGCCGCGCTTTCAACCACTACACCGCGAAGTTCTGGAACGTTCTCCCTCTATCCCTCCGCCTCGCCCCTTCCCTCCCCATCTTCAGCTTGCGCCTGAAGAACTTTCTCTTCGACCGTGTCTATGGTCGCCTCCCCCCCCCCCCTCCCTTCCCACCGGCTCAGCATCGTGCTCCACCACTGTCACTGGGACACTACCCTGCGTGAGGGGCACTGTGTAAATGCAAGTTGTTGTTGTAGTAAGGCTGCTCCTCAAATGCTTGTTGGATGGGGCAAGTGTTTCCACCTTAATGACTCACAGTGTGAGACTGAGTGCCGGACCCCTGATTCTGCCTGCTTTGTCCCTTCGCCTCGCCTCCTTCAAGGTCCGTCTCAAGACCCTACTCTTCGACCGGTTCCCCCTCCCAACCCCTGTCCTCCAACCCCTCCTAATCCCGACCCCCGGCTCGGGTGCGGATCCCCGACTGTCCAGTGCCTTGGGATGTCCTCCCGACGTGAACGAAGCTGTGTAACTGTGATGTGTTGTTGTTGTTGGTGGTGGTGGTGGTGGTTCGTGACCTGTCAGTGCCTTCTCTTGTCTCTCTAGGTGTCACAATCCACGTCTTCGCTCGTCGGGACTTCCTCGCGACCCAGGTTGAAGAGGAAACAGAAAATGCTGATCATTGCAAAACGGTAATGGTTAGCTACAAATGCAGAGATACACAAAGACATAGAAACAGGAGTGGTCTGTTCAGCCCCTCTCGAGCTTGTTCTGCCATTCTATCAGATCATGGCTGATCTGTACCTCAACTCCAGTTACCCGCCCTTGCTCCGTATCCCTTGATTCCCCCGACCTGACAAATAGTTTCTCTGTAGCTACCGTATCAAATCTCTTTATCACTTTAAACACCTCAATCAGATCATAATAATAATAATAATAATAATCCTTGCATTCGATATACCCCTCAACCATCAAGGGAACAGAGACCCAAGTTTACGTAACCTGTCCTCGTTATTCAACCCTTCAAACACCGGTCTGTGTGTGTGAGTCAGGGAACTCGGGGCTGTTCCGCAATTAAAATAAGAACAGAAGAGTTTGCTAGACACGAGAAGATCAAGGTCCATCCAGTTCACCTTCCTCCACCCTGACAGTCACATGTGTATTTTGTGTCCCAAACTATATGCTGTATTCCAAGATATTATTTCCTGACAGAAATCTGTCTTGACTTGTTCTCGAAAGATTCGCCGCTTTCTGCCTCCACCGTCTGTCTCTCTCCAGAGAGCCTTAGTTCCATACGTTTACTACTCGCTCGCTGACATAGTGTTTCCCCAGGTTTGTTCTGAATTTACCCGTCCCTTCAACCGCAGGCCGTGTCCTCTTTATCCTTGAACCTTAAGCAATTCCAGATAACATTTGTGTTTGCGACTTTAACCCGTCGAGTTCCCGACCGAGTTTTTTTTGGGTATATGAAGTTTCTTTTTTTCCGACAAAAAGAAATAAGATCACCCCTCGGTTGGGACGTCGCTCCTTTCACGTCTGAAATCGCTTCGCAGGATTTACCGTCGCGTGTCGTGACTGTATTTTGCCGGCGGAGGCGGCAGGTGATTCGCGCGCAGCGACGTCCCTGAACACCCACAAAACGAATCACAGCGCAGTGTTTCCCGTGCCTAGGAATACCCTCCTCTTCGACCGCGTCTTTCAGCCACCCTCCGGCCCTCCGCACCTCCCTGATCCCAACCACCAGTTCGCGTCCAAACCCCTTACTGTCCAGCGCCTTGGGACGACCTCCCGACAGGAAAGGCGCCGTGTAGATGTCACCTTGTATTTGAAATCCCTGCATCAAATAAGAATTATTTTGATTATTTGGGTGTTTGTGGAACCTTGCTGCGTGCAAAACGGCTGTCGCTTTTGCCCACAGTCGCTGCGCTTGACACTAAACTCCCTGTGAAATCTTTTGAGAGTTGCTAATTGTGCAATACTGTGCCAAAATAGACTTGATGAGGTTTATAAGTTGGAGTAGTAACAAGGGGTTGCCAGTAGATGTCACTAGGACACTTCCAGGTTGTGTCACACAGGCTATAATCCCTGGGATTGGTTCATGCTATGAACCGGTTTAGTCCTGGAGCAGAGTGTTTGCAGCGCTTGGACGATCCGGGTTCGATTGCCGAGCAGGGAAAACGTTGGGCAAGCTTCCTTCCTCCACGCACGCCGCGGTTTAGTCGATCGGCGGGTCGCTTTTCCTGGGGTCATAATCCCCCCCCACTCCCGTCCCCTAAATTTTTTTTAAAAAAATAACGAAATAATGATTTGGCGTTAATCTCAATCCACGGCTGTTTGCGGGACGTTGCTGTGCGCAATTAGCTGCCGCACTTCACACGTAAAATATACAGTCAATCCACTTCACAGTTAAATGCCCCCCACCCGCTCCCTCGACCCCATTCCTACCCCTCACCTTACCTCCCCTTACCTCCCAGCTCCACCTCCTCTCAGACCTCGTCAACCTCTCCCTGTCCACTGGCATTGTTCCCACCCCCCTAAAAACAGCTGTCATCACCCCTACCCTAAAAGAAACCTTCCCTGGACCCGTCCTTGCTCACTAACTACCACCTCATCACCAACCTCCCTTTCCTTTTCAAGGTCCTCGAAAGAGTTGCTGCTTCACCCCTTCCTCTCCTGCCACTCCTTTTACGACGCCCTCCAACCAGCTTTCCGTGGCGCCCACAGCACGGGAACAGCCCTGGTCAAGGTGACGAAAGACATTCTGTCCATCCGTGACCAGGGCTCCCTCCGTCTCCTCGTCCTCCACGACCTCTCTGCTTCCTTTGACACTGTGGACCACTCTATCCTCCTCCGCCACCTCTCCTCTCACCTTAACCTTCAAGGTTCTGTCCTTGAATGGTTCAGATCCTATCTCTCACCGGCTCTGCTTTGCTCAACAAATGGCTTCTCCTCCAGCCCCCTCACCGTCTTGTGCGGTGTTCCTCAGGGCTCTGTCCTCGGGTCTCTCCTCTTCAACCCGTACTTGCTCCCTCTGGTGACATCATCCGCAGACATGGGGTCAACTTCCACTCTTATCTCTCTGCCCCCACCCTCGACCCCAGGACCACTGCTGTCCTGACAGACTGCCTATTGGACATCAAGTCCTGGATCAGAGCCAACTTTCTACAGAAGACGTGAAAAGCGCTATATCAAATGCAAGGATTATTATTATTATTATCCAAGGATGCACACTCCACCTCACTGAGCCAGTCAGGAACCTGGGCATCTTGTTCGAAGCCTTAACTGTCCTTTCTCCCCCACGTCCATTCCATGACTCACTCCACCTTCCCCCACCTCCGCAACATTGCCCGACTCCGCCACTGCCTCACCCCTCGGGCTGCCCAAACCCTCATACATGCCTTCATTACAACCAGGCTCGACTATGCCAACGTCTCCTTGTCTCCCTTCCCATCTCTTCCCTCCAAAGCTGCAGACCATCCAGAACTCTGTAGATCGTGTCCTTTCCCGCACCAGGCTCCGTGACCCCCACCCTCGCCCGGCTCCACTGTCTCCCCATCCCCCAGAGGATCGATTATTCTCGTCCTCACCTTCAAGGCCCTCCATGGCCTTTCCACCCTCCTAGCTCTCCGACCTGCTAACCCCTTGTCAAACTGTCCGCTCACTCCGGTCTGTTGCTTGTCCCTCACCCGGCCCACCCCACCATCGGCGGCCGCCTTCAGCCTCTCCGCCCCCACCCTCTGGAACTCCATCCGACTGTCTCTTCGCCTCGCTCCCTTCTTTGCCTCCTTCAAGGTACAAGACCCTCAAGACCCGCCTCCTCGACCATGCCTTCGGTCACCCCCCACCCTCCCCGCCCTACACCCATCCTGATCCCAAACCCCACACCCCCATCCTCCCGGCCCCTCCTGACGTGAAAGGCGCTTTACAAATGTAATTTTATTCTGTGAAACACTTTTGAGACGTCGCAACCACACGATAAGGTGCTCTATTAAATGCAAGGATTATTTTTATTATCAGCTCATGTGTAATCCCAACCGTTTCCACCGTGTCTGTCGACATAACACCAGGGCCATTTTAAAATGGTCGCTGACCCTCCCAGTTCATGAATCCAATTAGGTTAATCCTGCAGAGAGCCTGGGATGCTGGTGTGCTGACAGTCAGTAGTCCTTTGACCGGGAATAACCATCGTCAGATTAGAAGGTGGAGTCAGGCCCTGCGCTGGGGGGGGGGGGGTAAGGCGCCCATTAGTGGATCACGCACGTGATTGCGGATAAAAATAATAATAATCCTTGCCATTGATACAGCGCCTTATCACGCTTGCGAGATGTCTCACAGCACTTCAACAGGATAATAGCAGCAATAATAATCCCTGCACTTGATACAGCGCCTTATCAGGTCTTCGAGACGTCTGAAAGCGCTTCACAGGATGTACTGTAAAGTGTAGTAGTGACTGCGTATTTTGTGGTCAAAACGCAGCAGCCAATTGCGCACAGCAGCGTCCCCACAAACGGTCGGGGATTGGGCGACCAAGTGACGCAATATAATAATAATCCTTGCATGGCCGATACGGGCACTAAGAGTTATCCCAGAACCGGAAAACATGGAATGTTGTTGAAAAACAAAAGACAAAATACTGCAGATGCTGGAAATCTGAAATAAAAACAGATGTCGCTGGGAACACTCAGCGGGTCAGGCAGCATCTACGGAGAGAGGAAAGTGGGACACTAACAGCGACAAAAACAACAACAAAATGACATTTGTACCGCGCCTTTCCCGTCGGGAGGACGTCGCAGAGCACTTGACGTCGACCGAGTACGACCTCGAGCCGGGGGAGGGAGGAGGTGACCGTAGACACGGTCAAAGCGGAAGGCCTTCAGCCGCGACCTGAAGATGCGGAAGGAAGGGGCAAAAGCGGAGGGATAGAGGGAGAGCGTCCTAGAGTTTCGGGGCGTGGCGGCTGAAAGCTCGGCCGCCGATGGCGGAACGGAGAGCACGAGGGACAGGCAGAGGAAAGATTACCGCAGTGAGCAGTGGAATGATGCAGTCTCACAGCCGATCAGAGAGCTTATAATAATACCCGAGGTGGGACGTGCGGTGGTGTTAATTGTTTGGCAGTCTGCACCTAGGACATGCTTTACTGGTGGGAAAGCTTCCGTTTCGTTCTCCTTCCTCATCCTCATCCTCTTCCTCTTCCTCCCACTTATTCGGTTAAGGATGGAAGTTGACACATGATTCCTCTCACGTGAGCTATACAATACAATACAACACAAAATGACACTTACACAGCGCCTTTCGTGTTGGGAGGACGTCCTAAGGCGCTGGACAGTCAGGGATTTGTCCCCGCTGGTGGGGGGGTTGGGGGGCTGGTGGGGGGGAGGTGGTGGTTGGGATCAGAGGGGTATAGGGTGAGGGTAATTTCGGGTTTATTGATGGTGAGCGAGTCACTGAAACATAATAATAATAATCCTTGCATTTGATATAGCGCTTTTCACGTCTTCCCGACGTCCCAAAGCGCTTCACGGAATATACTGTAGAGTCAATTGACTGTATATTTGTGAGCGAACGCGGCAGCCAATTGCGCACAGCAGTGTCCCCACAAACAGTCGTGGAATGAAAATGACCAATTTTATTATTGTTGGGGAGGATTTGGGGTGCTGGCGGGGGGTGGGTGGGGGCTGGGAGACGTGAGGAGGAGGGGGGCTCCTTGCTGTGGTTCTGAAATGCTACCGGGATCAGCTGCGCCATCAACTTATCGGATGAGCCAGGGATGTTGCTGATGGTTTCATTGTGAAGCGCTAAGGAGGGATGTGCGTTGGCTGGGATGGGATGGCTGTTTTCGCTTGGCTTTTTTCATGGTGTGTGACTCTGGCGTGTGTGTGCCTGTGTGTCTCTGTGTGCGTGTGTATGTCTCAGTGTGTGTGTGTGTGTGCGGTTGTATGTGTCTCCGGAAATGTGTGTGTCGCTGGCTTACTGCATATGTGTGTGTGTGATCTCTCTATCTGTGTGTCTCAGTGTGTCTCTGGTTGCGTGTGTGTCTCTGTTTACGTGTGTGTGTCTCTGGCTGTGTGTGTGTCTCTGGCTGTGTGTGTGTGTCTGGCTGTGTGTGTCGCTGAGTGCGTGTATATGTGTGTATCTCTGGGTGGGTGTGCGCTTGTATGTGTGTATGTGTGTGTGTTTGTATGTGTATGGGGCTCTCTGTGTGACAGTCGCTTACTGTTGTGTATGTTCGTTCCAGGTTCCTGCAGATTAAGAAGGAGGTTCCGACTCTTCAGCAGAAGGAACCTCCGCCCTCTGTGCTCGAGGCTGACCTGACAGAGTTCGATGTGGCGAGTTCTCACCTGCCACTCGAGGTGCTGTACATGCTGAAGAATGTCAGGTATCTCTCCCTCCCTCTGAAATCTTACTGACCTATCTCTCTCTCTATCTCTCTCAGACTTATTAATAGTAATAATCCCTGAATTTGATATAATAATAATAGTAGTACTTGTATTGGATCAGGGTTATTACGGTCTGGAATGCACTGCCTGAAAGGCTGGTGGAAACAGATTCAGTAACAACTTTCTAAAGGGAATTGGATAGGTACTGGAAAAGGAACAATTTGCACGGATATGGGGAAAAAGCGGGGGAGTGGGACTGATTGGGTAGTCCTTTCAAAGAGCCGGGACAGGGATGATGGGCTGAATGGCCTCTTTCCGTGCTGTAATAGTCTGTGATGCTATATAGCGCCTTATCACGTCTTCGAGACGTATCCAAGTGCTTCACAGAATATACTCTAAAGTGAATTGACTGTTTTGTGGGCGAAGGGCGCAACAGCCAATTGCGCACAGCAGCGTTCCCCCAAACTGTCGTGGATTGAATGTCCAAATTAGTACTATTATGATAGCGCCTTATCACGTCGTTGAGACAGCCACCGATGGTGGAACGGAGGGCACGAGGGACATGCAGGAGGCGGGAGCAAGTCGAGCAAGAAACAGCAACAACAAATCACATTTATATAGCGCCTTTCATGAAGGTGTTCCTCCTAAACTCCCTATTGGTTCTACTCCTGGTTGTCTTGTATTCACACCCTCCTGTTTTGGGACTTGGCAACCAGCAGAAACTATGAATCAACACCCACCTTACTGAATCCTTTCATAATAATCCCTTCAGAAGAAATAATAATACGTTGGGTCACTCAATCCACCCACGGCTGTTTGTGGGATGCTGTGTTATTCCTGTGCTAAGTGGTTATTCCTTCCTTCCTCCCTCCCTCCCTCCCTCCCTCCCTCCTTCCTTCCTTCCTTCCTTCCTCCTTCCTTCCTTCCTTCCTTCCTTCCTTCCTTCCTTCCTTCCTTCCTTCCTTCCTTCCTTCCTTCCCTCCCTACCTTCCTTCCTTCCTTCCTTCCTTCCTTTCAATCTGATCAGACAGTAATCGCTGGATATCCTGTATCATGTAATTTAAGGTGTTAATGGAAAATTCTTCCTTGTCTGAATTGCGTCTGTCTCCCACGCAGAGTCCTGGGTCACTTTGAGAAGCCGCTGTTCCTGGAGCTGTGTAAGCACATGGTGTTCCTGCAGTTCCAGCAGGGAGAGTACATCTTCAGCCTGGGCCAGGCTGACAACAGCATTTACGTGGTGCAGGACGGCAAAGTGGAGCTCAGCCTGATGGGGAGTGTGAGTTCGCAGCGATTAACACCTCCCCACCTCTCCAACCTGCCTCCGCTCGACAGGCTCCCGGCTTCCCCTGTGCCCTCCGGCCACTACGCCCCGAAACCCTGGAACACTCTTCCTTTATCCCTCCGCCTTGCCCCCTTCCTTCCCCATCTTCAGGTCGCGCCTAAAGACCTTCCTCTTCGACCGTACCTGTATGGTCACCCCCTCCCTCTTGGAAATAGTCCCCGCACAAAAAAAATAGGCTCCGTCAATCCACGAGTGTTTGTGGGGACGAGTGTTTGCGGGGACGTTGTGCGTAATTGGCTGCCGCGTTCCGCCCATAAAGTACAAAGTCGATTCACTTTACAGTATATTCTGTGGAGCGCTTTGGGACGTTTCAACGAGGTGATAAGGCTCTAGATCAAAAGCAAGGATTATTATTAATATTATTATTATTTACATGCGTATTCTCCATCTGGACCCGCAGGATGGAAAGGAAAACATTGTTAAGGAAGTTTTTCCTGGAGACAGTGTGCACAGTTTGCTCAGTATTCTTGATGTGATCACAGTAAGTACGAGCTCACCTTCTCACAACTCTCCGAGACGCTACTTGCGTGAAGGACGCTGCGTGAATACAAGCTGTCGTTTGTCTTGGGCCCGAATACATTTTATTTTAAGGCTGTTCGGGCACATCTCACTCAATTTGCTCCCGATGCAAACATACCAACGCTTAATGTAATTCACTGGGCTCTAGTCTGTGCAATGCATCCTTACTCCACTGGCTCCCCATCTCCTCCAAATCCTTCTCCTCGTTCTCAAAGCCCTCCACTGCCTTGTTTCCCCTCTCCACCATCCTCTAGAACTCATTCCCACAGTCCCTTCTCCTCACCGCCCCCCCCCAACCCTTCCTCGCCTCCTTCAAGCCCCGTCTCAAGACCCTCCTCTTCGATTGCACCTTCGGTCACCCTCCTTCCCCCACCCTCCCTGCCCTCCACCCCTCGTGATCTCAAACCCCAGCTCGGGTTCAGATCCCTGACTGGCCAGCGCCTTGGAACGTCCTCCCGACACGAAAGGCGCTGTGTAACTGTAACGTGTTACCGTTGATGTATTCTCCATGGTGACAGAGACAGGAAACAGCTGGATTTTGTCTTCGGACTTTGCCAATTTGAGATTCCCTGCGGGTGAAGTTTGGAAACAACAGCCATAATAACAGCTAACAATAATCCTTACATTTCATACAGCGTCGGGGGGGTGGGGGGGAGGGTGGGGGCGGCTTGAAGCGCTTCACAAGATTTACTGTGCAGTGGAGTGACTGTGTATTTTGTAGGAGAAGGCAGCAGTGAACTGGTGGACAGCAAACAGTGGGGAGGCAATGGGTGATGTTTTCCGGGGGATTTAAAATACACAGTCACCGCGCTTCACAGTAAAATGCGACTGGTATGGATGTACGGCGGCTGAAGACACAACAACAACAACTTGCATTTACACAGCATCCGCTCACCCAGGGCAGCGGCCCCGGGCGCTTGACAGAGGAGCACGACGCCCGAGCCAGGGGGAGGTGACCGTGGGCATGGAGGGAGGTCTCCAGGCGCGACCTGAAGATGGGGCGGGAAGGGAGCGAGGCGGAGGGAAGGATAGAGGGGAGAGTGTTCCAGAGTTTCGGGGCCCAGGGGCTGAAAGCCCGGCCACCAGAACGGTGGAACGGAGGGCACAAGCAGGAGGCCAGTCGAGCGGAGGTAGTGGGTCGGAGGGTAAACGGGTAGGGAGGTGCCAGGGGCGTAAAGGGACACGAAAGCGATGACACGTATGCGAGTCTTGCTGCAGTTCCAGTGTTTCGGATGCTGTGCTGTGTTACAGGGTCATCAGCGGCCATACCGCACTGTGTCAGCTCGGGCCACTGAGGTCTCCACTGTCCTCTGCTTACCGGTGGAAGCGTTCCAGGCCATCTTCGAGAAGTACCCGGAGAGCCTGGTCAGAGTGGTGCAGGTGAGAGCGTTCAACGGACCGACCTGCCTTCTCTCCTCATCCCCATCCCACCTCGGCCGCGCGAAAAAAAGGGAAATGTGTCCAATCCCGCACTTGAGCTCTCGTGTAATTTTACGCGAGCGGAATGGAGACCTGGGTTCGATTCCCGGCGAGACACTGGGCAAGTTTCCTCACTCCACACGTCTGATAATGTTCCCTCAAAGAAAAAATAATAATGATTTGGTCACTCGATCCGCGACTGTTTGTGGGGACGCTGCTGTGCGCAGTTGGCTGCAAAATGTACAGTCACCAGACTTTACAGTATATTCTGTGAAGCGCTTTGAGACGTCGAGAAGACGTGATAAGGCGCTGTCTCAAATGTAACTATTATATTAACACGTCGCATCAATGCTGCGTTTCGCCCAGTCACTTCACTTTACAGTATATCCTATGAAGCGCTTTGAATTGTCTCGAATACGGATTATTCTATTTTATTTTTTTATTATTATTTATCAATATAAATGTAAATAATATTTATTATCAGTTTATTATTATTGTTACTGTTACTCCCAATTGATTCCCATCCCCCTCCCCATCCCATGACACCCCCCACCCCTTCCAGAATCAGACTCCCTCCCTCACAAACTTCCCTTCCTCCCCATCTACCCCGAACATCCCCACACTCTTCCCCGTGCCCCCCGCCGGCCCCCCCACACCGTCTGCTCACAGATTGGGGTGGGAGTTTCCAAGACTAGTGGGCGGGTGTTGAATGGCAGGATCTCCTTTGGCCGATTTGATCTCTAAACAACGTAAGCTTCCTGACCTTGTGCTCTCTTCCTGGTAACTTGTTCCCCTCCCCTGCGTGGGAAGATACGTAGACATAGAAACAGGAGTAGGCCATTCAGCCCCTCGAGCCTGTTCCGCCGCTTTATAAGATCATGGCTGATCTGTATCTCAAGTCCAGTTGCCCGCCCTTGCCCCGGATCCTTTAATACCCCGACCAAACAAATATTTATCCACCTCCATCTTGAAAATGCGAATGGATCCAGCAGAGTGTTGGGAGAATTTAGGGAGAGCGCTCCAGAGTTTCGGGTGTGTAAGCGTCTGGAAGTGCGGCCGCCGATGGTGGAATGGAGGAGGGCGAGTGAGTGAGTGAGGGAGCGAGCGAGCGCGTGCTCTCTGACGCTTTGCGACGTTCGAACGATGTTTCGTTTCGCCTTCTCCCGTCAGATCATCATGGTGCGTCTGCAGCGAGTGACGTTCGTGGCTTTGCACAACTACCTGGGTCTGACTAACGAGCTGTTCATTCACGTGAGTGGCTCTGCTGACGGGACGGGGGTGGGGTGGGGTGGGGCGGGGGGAATGTTTACTGGGGGCAAACAGAGTCCTGTAGCGCAGTGGTTGTCAATCGATTGGCAGATCGCTTTTCCGGGGGTAATAATCCCTTTAAAAATACATTAAATCAATAAATAAATTAATAATAATCCTAATCTGGGCACTTAAACCCACGGCTGTCTGTGGGGACGCTCCTGTGCACAATTTCGCCCACAAAATCTACAGTCAGTTCACTTGAGGGTGTATCCTGTGAAGCGGTCTGAGACGTCTTCAGCGACGTGATAAGGCGCCGGATCAAACTATTATGATCATTATTATCATTGCGATTTAAGATTCATGATTTCGCAGATTAAGATTCATGATTTCGCAGGAGAACCAGTCCAGTCGTCAGTTTGCACAGCAGTCGCACGCCTCACGCACCAGCCCCGTCAGGCACGGCCGTCGCTTCACCAGCACGTCCGTGGCAGAGGATCAGAGAGAGCCGGCAGGTAAAGGGGCAGCAGAGAGCGGTGAGTACTCCCAGCATCACGTCCTTACGCCGGTGAATCCCTCTTTATCTGTCTGTAAATCCCACCTTAAGACTTCCGTGGAGTCCTGTAGCGTAGTGGTTAGAGCACTCGCCCCACTCTTTCCCCCACCCGCCGAACCCCCAACCCCCCCGCCCCAAGCAAGAGGACCTGGGCTCGATTCCCGGGCGGGTCAAGGCGAAACCTTAGGCAAGTTTCCTCATTCCACACACTCGCCTCTGTTCGCCCTGCGCTGACCCGGTTGTTAGTCGATTGGCCGACTGCTTTTCCGGGTGTAATTATCGCTTCAAAAAAAAAACCCAGCGATAATCGTGATTGGGTCACTCCAATCGGCTGCCGCGTTTCGTCCCACAAAATGCACGGTCGATTCGCTTCGCGGCGTGCCCCGCGAGGCGCTTCGAGACGTCTCGAAGACCCGATAAGGCGCTGCGTCGAATGCGGGGCTCAGCATTGCCGTTGCCATCTCCGGGATGGCCGCCCGTCGGGTGGGCTGCGTGGAATTCTCGGTTCGGTTTGGTTCGGAGACTCGGGAGCACGGTGATGGGTTTCCGCACGTGTCAGGCACCCGGCTGCTCCCCCACCCCCCCCACCCCAAAAAAAAATGCACGCGTGCTCACCGTTCACGCAAACACCACAGAAAGGGACAGTTCGGAAGGTCCCCTTTAGACGACATTGAGAGGTTGAAGATAAGAAGCCTTAATTGGCCTCAGTCTTTCTTGCTCAAGTTTGTGCCCCGCCAGTAGATGGCGAAAATATATAATCCACTCAATATTTACGGTTGTGTCAGTGTCACAGCAAGGTTGCTGCCCCTTTAATGCAATGATCCCAGGATTGGATTTACCATCATAATCCTTGCGTTCGCTATAGGGAGCCCCGTTCCCCTCCTCCCGCAAGGATGCGCAAAGCTTTCTCTTAAATCGAACAGTGCCTGTGGCTTCAGCCGCAACAACCACAACAACTTGCATTTACACAGGGCCCCCTCAACGCGGGGCAGCGTCTCGGAGCGCTGAACAGTGGCGGAGCGCTCCGCCGGGGGTGGGGGGGGTCCAAGAGGAAGTGCTTCAGGCTTGAGTTGTGATCTGAAAGAGATGTGGGAAGGGGCGAGGGCGGAGGGATTGGGGGAGAGAGAGTTCCAGAGTTTTGGGGCGTAGCGGCTGAAAGTGCAGCCGCCGATGGTGGGGAAGAGGGACAAGCAGGAGGTCAGAGCCAGCCAAGCGGAGGCAGCGGGTAGCGGAGCGGGGAGAAAACAGGCCCAGGAAGGTGGGGGAGGCGCAAGGGAATGAAAGGATTTGCAGCCGAGGGAGTCACACTCTCTCAGCGTCCTCTTTGTGAATTTTGTTTGGATAAAGTGAGGTGTTTTATATCCGAGGGTGTAATTACTGCCGCGCTTTGAACGCCAACTTTCCAACCCGTGCCACAGGCGGCTGAACATAACGGATCTCTTTGTTGAAATGTATTCCTGCGGTTGTATTGTCACATTTATCTTGCTCCACCTTGTCCCGAATCCCTGTGGAATGCTATAGCTTTCTGATCAGAGAGACTCGCCTCGCAAGCGAGAGGACCCGGGTTCGATTCCCGGGCAGGGTGAAACGTTGGGCAAGTTTCCTTACTCCACACGCGCGCACACACGCCTCTGTTTACCCAACGTAAGTAGGAACCCGATTGTTAGTCGATTGGCGGGTAAAAACAAAAGTGCTTGTGGTTTTACACACGGCACCCTGCGTCCGCGTAACAAATAACCTTTGTGTCTGACCTTGTTTCGAAAGGGAAGCACACTCAGCCTTTAGCGCACGATGACCCCGACTTCTTGTACGTACGAGTGTTGGGGGCAGAGGAGGAAAGGGAGGAGTTTCCCGAGAGAGAGGAGAACCACAGGGCAGGGACAAGGAGGACGTTGGCAGGGGGGAGGAGAGCAGAGGAGCGTTCTGGCTCGGTGAGGGGGAGCCAGGCAACCAAAGCGGGTACATTGGAAGACCCAGCGGTGACTAGCGGTGTGCATTGGCGGGCTGTAGTCAGGCAACGATCGGTATCACTGGACCCAGCACTGGAGGTCAGAGCCAGGCTGAGATCAGGGAGGACGGAGGAAGGGAAGAGTCGAGCGGGGCCGAGCTGGAAGGCCGACGGTCAGGCAGGAACTCAGCCACACGTCCACAAAGGTGCCCTCCGATGGCCCAAAGACCTGACACAAGAGAACCCAGCAGTCAGGCAGTCTAGCGAGGGCAGGATTCGGGTTCGAGATTCAGGTCTGTGATTTATCCCAAGAAAACATCCCGGTGGAGGGTGGGGGGTGATGGGGGGAGAGCATTTTATACTATCACCCTCGTTTCCTTGTGGAGTCCTATAGCTCAGTGGTTTGAGCACTCTGGGATCGAGGACCTGGGTTCGATTCCCGGGCAGGGCCAAATGTTGGGCAAATTTCCTCACTTTCCTTACTGTGGAGTCCTGTAGCTCAGTGGTTAGAGCACTCGCTTTGCAAGCGAGAGACCTGAGTTCAATTCCAGGCAGAGGGCGAAACCTTGGGCAAGTTTCCTTACTCCACACAGAGCCTAATAATAATCCCTCCAAAACCCAAACAATAATAAAATTGGTCATTTTCAATCTACGACTGTTTGTGGGACATTGCTGTGTGCAATTGGCTGCCGCGTTCGCCCACAAATATACAGTCAATTCACTTTACAGTGTGTTCTGTGAAGCGCTTTGGGACGTCCTCCCGACGTGAAAAGCGCTATATCAAATGCAAGGATTATTATTATTATTACTCCGCGCACCTCTGTTTAACCCGGCAGTAAGCAGGAACCCGGCTGTTAGCCGGTTGGCGGACCGCTTTTTCGGGGGTAATACTCCCTTCCAAAAACAAATAAATGAATAATGGTAAGAATTTGGTCACTCGATCCACGACTGTTTGTGGGACACTGATGTGCGCAATTGGCTGCCAACGTTAGGCCCACGGACAAAACACAGTCAATTCACTTTACGCTGCATTTCTACGAAGCGCTTTTGAGACGTCTCAAAGATGGGACGTGGGGCTGAATCAAACACAAGGATTATTATTATTATTGTAAAAACTTATTTCCTGGCCAAACAATCCCTCCCCCCCCCCCCCCCCCCACCACCCCGATTAGAATCGGTCCTTCACTGCTGTTACCGTTTACGCGGACACCGTTTCAGACACGCGCGCCCTTCGGGTGAGACGTTACTCCCCGTCTGTCACTCCCTCGCTCCCTGTCTATCTGTTCAGGCGGACGCTTTGAGGCGTCTCGAAGACGCGATAAGTCGCTCATATCAAATGCTCGGATTATTACAGTTATTATCACATCGTCGAGACGGCTCAAAGGGCTTCACAGCATTCGCTGTAAAGCGTAGTGACTGTGTATTTTGTGAGCCAAAGTGGCAGGAGGACGTCTTAAGGATCCTCACGGGCTTTAATGTGAAGTGTAGTGACTGTAGGGAAATGCGGCTCAAATTTTCACGCTGCAGTGCCCCACAAACAGCCATGGAGTGAGTGACCAGTATTATTTGGTGGGATTGTTGGCCAGGATCCCGAGACTGAGAGAGAGAGAGAGAGAAACTCCCTTCTCTTCTCAAATAGGGTTGCGGGAACTTTAACATGCACCCGAACAGGCAGACGCGGAGCTCGGTATCACATCTCATCCAAAGGTCTTGCGCTGAAGGCATGAGGTGCGTTGTGTCAGATGGATAATCAGTGAGGCGTCTGTTTGTCTGCAGCAAGTGACATGTCAAAGGGAGGAGCATTGGACCTGGTTGGGGCTCCAGTGCTCAGCAGATGTATCTCCATGCCAGTGGACATCTCAGGTGAGTCTATTTTTATATACGCCCCCAACCTCCCCTGAAACCGTGCAAGCCAAAGCCCTAGGGTGGTCCTAGTTGGACAAGCAGCGGGAAAACCTGACAGACGGCGTTCTCAATGGCCAATTGGAATTGGATAATCGGAGTTCAGATACAGATCAGAATTTGATTTAATAGAATGGCAGAACTGGCTCGAGGGGCTGAATCGCCTGCTCCTGTTCCCATGTTCTTAAGCAACGTATGTGGAATGCATGGAATTCTCAGTTGGGTTTGGAGACTCTTAAGCATGAGGATGGATCTCTGCAAGTGACAGAAACCCAACTGTCCGGGGGTAGTCACCCCCCCCCACCCCACCCTGCCTGCCCTCCACCCCTCCTGATTCCAACCCCCAGCTCAGGTCCAAATCCCTGACCGTCCAGCGCCTTGGGATGTCCTCACGACATGAAAGGCGTTGTGTAAATGTAATGTTGTTCACGGTTGAGCCATGACTGATTGTCGGATTCACACCCTGATCCGGCATTCCCCCCCACCATCACACTTCCTGGTGTCTGTCCTGAAATTGCCCCTTTGTGACTCTTAACCTGTGTCCTCTGGTTCATAGAGTTATACAGTACAGAAGGAGGCCATTCGGCCCATTGTATCTGTGCCGGCTCCAACCGTGCTGACTCTTTGAAAACAGCTATCTAACTCAATCCCACTCCCCCGCTCTCTCCACAAATATTTATCTGCTTCTCTCTTAAAAGTTGTTATCGAATCGGCTTCCCCCGGCCTTTCAGGCAATGCATTCCAGATCCCAACAACTCGCTGTGAAAACATTTCTCCTCCTCTCCCCTCTGTTTCTTTCAACAACTATTTAAAACCGGTGCCCTCGGGTTACCGACCCACCCGCCAGTGGGAATAGTTTCTCCCTGTTCACCCTATTGAATCCCCTCTTCATTTTGAAAACTTCTATTAAGTCTCCTCTTAACCTTCTCTGCTCCAAGGAGAATAATCCCGGCTTCTCTCACCTCTCCTGATAACTGAAGTCCCTCATCCCTGGTACCATTCTGGTCAATCTCCTTTGCATCCTCTCCAATGCCTTGACATCCTTCCTAAAGTGTGGTGCCCAGAATTGAACACAGTCTCGAGCTGAGGCCTAACAAATGTTTTATAAAGGTTTATCATAACTTCCTGACTTCTATATTCTAAGCCCCTATTTATAAAGCTTGTAAATGCTTTATTTACCTGTCCTGCCACTTCAAGGATTTACTTATATGAACCCCCAGGTCTCTCTGTTCCTTCACCCCCTTTAAGATTGTACCATCACCTTATATCGCCTCTCCTCATTCTTCCTGTCAAAATACATCACTTTGCATTTCTCCGTAATAAACTTCATCTGCCACTTGTCGGCCCATGTTACCAGTCTGTCTATGTCCCCTTGCAGTCTGATACTGTCCTCCTCACTGTTTACTGCTATTCCAGCTTAGTATCATCTGCAAACTTGGAAATTGTACTCCCTATACCCAAGTCCGGGTCATTTATATAGATCCAAAACAGCAGTGGGTCCAATACTGACCTCTGGGGGACACTACTGTACACTTCCCTCCAGTCAGAAAAACAACTGTTCACCACCACTCTCCTCTTCCTGTCTCCCAGTTAGTTCTGTATCCGCTGCCACTGTCCCTTCAATACCGTGAGCTTCTATTTTGCTTATACGTTTCTTATGTGGCACTTTATCAAACACCTTTTGGAAATCCATAGAAACTACATCAACTGCACCACCTTCATCCACCCTCCATTAATCAATTTACCCCCCTACTTCTCCGTTAATTTAGTAACTCAATCCTCAACTGTTTGTGGGGATGCTGCTGTGCGCAATTGGCTGCCATGTTTCGCCCACAAAATACACAGTTATTACACTTTACAGTGAGGTACTTTGAGACATCTCTTTGAGAAGTGGTAAAGCACTGTATCATATGCAAAGGTTATTATTATTATAAAGGTGAAGGGTTGGTTCAGTTGGTGCAGGAAGTGAGCCTAACGCTATCTGTTCCTGCAGGAATACAGAAAGGGCTTCGGTCAGACTTCGACATGGCGTACGAGCGGGGAAGGATTTCGGTGTCGTTACAGGAAGACGTTCCCTTGACTCCCTTACATCTCGCCAGAGTAAGCAGAAAGCTCTCCTCGTGTCCAGGACTGTTTGTAGGGACGCCGCTGTGCACAATTGGCTGCCGCGTTTCGCCCACAAAACATACAATCAATTAGCTTTGCAGTATATCCTGTGAAGCGCTTTGAGACGTCTGGAAGACGCAATAAGGCGCTGTATCAAATGCGAGGATTATTATTATTATTACTAGTTCTCGGACACCCAAAGTGGGCACTTGCAGATTAAAAAGGTCTGGCCCGCCCTGCAGGAGCAGAGGAATTGTTGGAGAAAAAAAAGACCAAGGTCCCATCCAGTCTGCCTTCTAGTCAGTCGCATGCTACAAGTCAATTCACTTTACAGTGTATAAAAACAGAAGTCGCTGGGAACATGCAGCAGCTCAGACAGAGACCTGAAGCTCAGTGGTTAGAGCACTCGCCTCGCAAGCGAGAAGCCTGGGTTCGATTCCTGGGCAGGGCAAAATTTGGGGCAAGTTTCCTTACTCCACACGCACGCCTCTGTCTACCTAGAAGTAAGTAGGAACCCGGTTGCAGGTCGATTGACGGATCGCTTTTCCGGTGGGGGGGGGGGTGATAATTCCTTCAACCAAATAATAATATTACATTGGTCACTTCAATCCACGACTATTTGTGGGGTCGCTGCTGTGCGCAATTGGCTGCCGCCTTTTGCCCACCAAAATATATGGTCGATTCGCTTTACAGTATAATCTGTGAAGCGCTTTGGGACGTCTCGAAGACGTGATAATTACATCAAATGCAAGGATTAATAATACTAATAATCCTTGCATTTGATATCGCGCTTTTCATATCTTTGAGACGTCTCAAAGCGCTTCACGGAATATCCTGTAAAGCGAATTGACTGTATGTTTTGTGTGCGAAACGCGGCAGCCAATTGCGCACAGCAGCGTCCCAACAAACAGTCGTGGATTGAGTGACTGAATTTTTTTTTCTGTCTTGAGCGATTATTATCAGGCGTGTGGAGAAAGGAAACTTGTCCAAAGGATTGAACCCGGGTCTCTCGCTTGCGAGGCGAGCTCTCCAACCACTGAGCTACAGGACTCCACTTTACGTAGTGATCGGGAGGATTATTATGTTATCGTTGTTGTTATTCCGTCACTGATCCTCTTGTCTCTGACCCCCAGTCTGCACCGCAAGAGCCGAGGGAGCGTAGATTTGTGGCTTCAGAGGAACCTTCGATCAGCGGTGACCACGATGGGGAACATGACGCCGGGGCCGATTATGTCTACGGCACAACTCAAGGCAAACACAGCATATTCGAGGAGGCAAAGCAGGAGCTGCAGAAACTGATGCAGATTGAGGTGACTTTGATTATATATGTCCACTCCTTACGCTCAGCAGAGGCTTTCTCGGGCTTTTAGCCTCTCTGCCCCAACCCTTTTGAACTCCATCCCATATTCCCTTTGCCTCGTTCTCCCCCTCACCTCCTTCAAGGCACGTCTCAAGATCCTCCTCTTCGGCCGTGCCTTTGGTGACCCTTCTCACATGCATCTGCATACATGTCTGTGCATACTTTGTCCACCTCTCCGACCTGCTTACCCACCACTCCGTCACCTGTTGCCTCCGCTCAGCTGGCTCTGGCCTCCTGTTCTACCCTCATCCCCTCCGCTCCACCATCGGAAACTCTCTCCCTCGATCCCTCCGACTTGCCCCTTCCTTCCCTCCCTTCCTCCCTCCCTCCCCACTTTCAAATCCCACCAAAAAACCTTCCTTTTTGATCGTGCTTACGGTCACCTCCCCCACTCCCGGCTCGGGGTCAGACTCCGCCACTGTCGAGCCGCCCCGGGTGAAGAGCGCTATATATAAATGCAAGTTGTTGTTGCTGTTGTTGTTCACGTGAAGGAGAGCTTTAACCTTTCGTCCTCTGTTGCAGGATCCGACACTGCTCGACAACCGTGTGTCCCTGCACCAAGCCAAGGCTGGCACCATCCTGGCTCGGCAAGGAGACCAGGTGGGTCTGAGACGTGTCGCTCAGGTTCTGCGTATATTGCACAAGCTGCACCCCGTTACAGCTACGCTTTCAACCGAAGGATCCATCGTGGAATGCGATAGCACTCATAAACCATTTAACACACCTTTAGCAAAACTGCCACACACGTGTGTGACGAGCTTGCTTAGGTCATAGCTCTCATCAGCGAGAGGAGATGCCCCCTAACAAAAATATGCCCGTGACACTGCCCCATGCAAGACCTTTCCGCTGAGGTATAAATCGTGCCTCTACGTCAATCCGTTATTGCGTTATTGGCGGACACGCAGACAGACACATTTTGTCTTCGTTAGTGTAGATAATAAAAATAACCCTTCGCGTTTGTGCCCCTCTGAACCTCTGTGCCCCTCTCTGACCCTCTGTGGCCCTCTCTGTGCCTCTCTGACCCTCTCTGTGCCTCTCTGACCCTCTGTGCCCCTCTGAACCTCTGTGCCCCTCTCTGACCCTCTGTGCCCCTCTGAACCTCTGTGCCCCTCTCTGTGCCTCTCTGACCCTCTGTGCCCCTCTCTGACCCTCTGTGCCCCTCTCTGTGCCTCTCTGACCCTCTGTGCCCCTCTCTGACACAGGATGTCAGTCTGCACTTTGTGCTGTCGGGCTGGCTGCACGTTTACCAGCGAATGATCGACAAGGAGGAGGACGTGTGCCTGTTTGTGACCCAGCCGGGGGAGATTGTAGGGCAGTTGGCTGTGCTGACGGGAGAACCTCTCATCTACACCATCAAAGCCAACCGCGAATGCACCTTCCTCAAGATCTCCAAGTCCGACTTCTATGAGTCAGTATCAACGACCACAACAACTTGAGTCTACACAGCGCGCTTCAGAGCACGACTCCAAATCGGGGGGTGGGGGGAAAGGGAGGAAAGGAAGATCTTCGGGTGTGATCTAAAATAGGGAAAGGAGGGCGCGGGGTGAGCCGGAGGGATTGAGGGAGAGAGTGCCAAAGCTTCGGGGCACAAATGACTGTTCTGACAGAGAGAACCTAAGATCTCGGGGATTATTTGCAATCAGCAATGATTAGTTCGGAAAGGAGGAGAAAAGACGGCAATGCCCGGGGTGTGATTTTTTTTTTCTTCGTTCCGCTTTAACTTGGAATTTTGTTTCGCCCACAAAATACACAGTCACTCCACTTTGCGACATGTTCTGTGAAAGCGCTTTGAGACGTTCTCGGAGACGTGATATGGCGCGGTATCAAATGCGAGGATTGTGAGTGTTGTTATTATTATTAACTTTTATTAACTATTAACTATGACAGAATCATGCGAGAGCAGCCGAACGTGGTGCTGAGCATTGCCCACACCGTGGCCGTGAGGATGTCTCCCTTCGTCCGGCAGATGGACTTCGCCATTGACTGGATGGCGGTGGAAGCGGGGCGCGCCCTCTACAGGTCAGGGAGTGAAGTGCCGCATGGTTGCTGGGAAGGGGGTGGGTGTGGTTGCTGGGAATGGGGGTGGGGGGGGTGTGGTCACTGGGGCGGGGTCTCCAGCGCGAAGGGGTGGGGGTCACAGAGGGAGCGGGGTCTGCAGCGGGGCAGGGTCTTTAGCAGGGAGGGGTCGGGGTCTCCAGTGGGGAGCGGGTGGGGCAGGGTCCCTACCGCGGAGGTGGAGGGGCACTGGGGTCACAGAGGTGGGGGTCTGTAGTAGGGAGGGGGCGGGGTCTGCAGCGGGGAGGGGTCTGTAGCAGGGAGGGGCGGGGTGGGTCTCAGTGGGGAGGGGGCGGGGTCTGTAGCAGGGAGGGGGGTGGCGTCTCAGTGGGGAGGGAGCGGGGTCTCCAGCGCAAAGGAGCCAGAGCACGGGGTGGGGGGGGTCACAGAGGGCGGGGTCTGTAGCGGGAGCGGGGCGGGGACTGTAGCGAGGAGGGGAGGCGGGGCCTGTAGCGGGGCGGGGGCGTGGTCTGAGGCGGGGCGCGGGGCGGGCGGGGGCGGGGTCTGCCGTGGGAGCCCCACCGTATCTCAGTGATGTGTTGCGCCCGCAGGCAGGGAGACCGGTCAGACTGCACCTACATTGTGCTGAATGGGCGTCTGCGCTCCGTCATCAGGAAAGGCAACGGCAAGAAGGAGCTGGTGGGGGAGTACGGGCGCGGGGACCTGATCGGAGTGGTGAGCGCCCGACCGGCTCTCCGGGCACGGAAGCGTGTCGTAGAGCATGCGGATTGTCGGACCCTCTCCCTCTGTCCCTCGGCCTCGCCCCTTCTCGCCCCCCCCCCACCCCATCTTCGGGTCACGCCCGAAGACCTTCACCTTCGTCCGTGTGCCCGGGGTGGCCTCGTCCTCCCCCGCTTCACCTCGGACTCCTTGGGTTACGGTTCAGAGAGGGCAACACGGTACACTTTGGGTCAAACCCACGTCGGTTGCGACTCAGAACCGAGCACCATTAACACACGGCTGGGCGACTTTTCAGAGATTTGCCTCGTTTCACGTAGTGTCGTAGTTAGAGCACTCGCCTCGCAAGCGAGAGGACCCGGGTTTGATTCCCGGGCGGGCCAGAACCTTAGGCAAGTTCCCTAACTCCCCACACGCGCGCGCACGCGCACCGCGCGCCTCTGTTTACGCAGCCGTAAGCAGGAAACCAATTGCTGGTCGATTGGCGGATCGCTTCCCAGGTTGTAACAATCCCTTGAATAAAATAATAGTCATGATAATAATTTGGCCGCCTGATCCGCGACTGTTTGCCGGACGCTGCTGCGCGAAATCGGCTGCCGCGTTTCGCCCCTTCAAGCGCTTTGAGACCTCCCGAAGACGTGATAAGACGCCGTATCGCGCGCAAGGGTTGTGATCGTAATTATCTGAGGCAAACGTGGAGCGGAGCATCAGTAACATGACTGCGTGCCATGAAGAGGTTAGAATAACGATAATAAGACTTGCATTTGATACGGCGCCTTATCACGTCTTCGAGGCGCTTCACAGGATAGGCTGGAAAGTGTAGTGACTGTGCGCTTTGTGGGCAAAAGGTTACTTTCCCCCCCCCCCACACTCCTCCCGCTCTCCTCTCCTCCTCACGATCTGTTTGTCTCTCTCTCTCTCTCCAGGTTGAGGCACTGACTCATCAGCCACGAGCCACCACCATGCATGCTGTGCGGGACACTGAACTGGCCAAGCTCCCCGAGGGCACCCTCAACAACATCAAGAGGCGGTACCCTCAGGTACGCACGCTTGGCCCACTTACGCTCCCCCTTATGAACTCTTAACCCACCCCCCCCACCCCACCCCACCCATCTATAAGGGGAGAAACCTTAGGTAAGATTCCTTACTCTTACTCCACACACACGCCTCTGTTTACCTAACAGTATGTCAGTCGGTTGACGGATCACTTTCCGGGGGAAAAGAAATGAAAAAAATGTGGTCACTCACTCCATGACTGTGGGACACCGCTGTGCGCAGTTGGCTGCCACGTTTGTCCCACGAAATACACAGCGCTTTGAGATGTCTCAATGGCGTGATAAATCACAGAATCCTGCAGCACAGGAGGAGGCCATTCGGCCCATCGTGCCTGTGCCAGCTCTTCGAAAGAGCTACCCAACTTGCCCCACTCCCCCACTCTTACCCCGCAACGATTGCAAACGTTTCCTCTTCGAGTACTGATCCAATTCCCTTTTGAAAGTTATTATCGCATCGGCTTCCACCACCGCTCATGCTGTGCGTTCCAGATCGTTAACAACTCGCTGCGTAAAAAAAAAAAAAAAATTCCCATCTAGTCTCCCCTCTGGTTCTTTTGCCAATCTATCTTAAATCTGTGTCCTCCGGTTACCGACCCACCCGCCTGCCAGTAGAAACAGTTTCTCCCTCCCTACCCTTATCAAAACCCCTCATGATTGCGAACACCTCTCTTAAATCTTCCCTGAACCTTCTCTGCTCGAAGGAGAATAATTCCAGCTAAGAATAAGGCGCTGAGTCGAACGCCAGGATTATTGATGGTTCTGTTTTGTGTGTGTGCGTGAATCTCAGGTTGTGACTCGACTGATCCATTTACTGGGACAGAAGATCCTGGGGAATCTCCAGCAGGTACATGGATCATTCCCAGGTAAGACTCTGGAGTCCTGGAGCTCAGTGGTTAGAGCACTCAGTAGTAAGCGAGAGGACTTGGGTTCGATTCCCAGGTAGGGCACTAGCAGTACGTTGTTAGTCGATTGGTGGATCATTTTTCCAGGGGTAATAATTCCTTTGAATACGTATAAAAATAATTTGGTCACTCAAACCACGACTGTTTGTGGGGACGCTGCTGTGCGCAGTTGGCTGTCACGTTTCGCCCACAAAATATACAGTCGATTCACTTCACAGTATATTCTGTGAAGCGCTTTGAGACGTCTCGACCAGGTGGTAAGGCGCTATATCAAATGCAAGGATTATTGTTATTTACAAAGAATGTGTGGCACTTAAACAAGCCACTCAGTCCAACCAGTCCTCGCCAGTGTTTATGCACAAGTCTCCATCTGTTCCTCCCTCCCTGCCTCCCTCCAACAGACTTGGGCCACCGGAGTTTGTAGAGGGAGGGTGGGCGAGGATGTGGAGGCATGTTGGCGGGCGGGGCGAGGCTGATGAGCTTGCGGATCTTGAAGAGGAAGAGGACGCAGGCTTTGAAACGAGTTCTGATCTCCTTCAAAGCCTTGCTCCTCCCTACCTCTGCAACCTACTGACTCTATATAGACCTGTCAACTCCTTCTCTCCTGCTCCACGCCTCCTGCCCGGCCCACCCCAACAACGCTCGGGCCTTCAGCCTTCCAGTCCCCGTCCTTTGGAACTCCAACCCACAGTCCCTCCGCCCCCTCCTCCCTTGCCTCCTTCAAAGCACATCTCAAGACCCTTCAACCTGATCCCAACTCCCAACTCCGCTCCAAATCCCTGACTGTCCAGCCCATCGCCTTGGGAAGTCCTCCCAACGTGAAAGCCGCGGTGTGAATGCAATGTGTTGTTGTCGTCGTCGGGGTGGGTGTTGGGCGCCCGGCTGGAGTGGGGTTGGCTGTTCCACTGACTCTCTCCCTTGCGATCGTTTTCAGCCACTGGGTTTGGGCTCCCGTCCACCAGCAGCGCGGACGTGACCAACCCAACCAGCAACCTGTCCACGGTGGCCGTGCTTCCCGTGTGCGACGATGTGCCAATCGCTGCCTTCAGCCTGGAGTTGACTCACGCACTCAACGCCATCGGTTAGCGTAACAACAACAAGCGTTTTTCGAACCTCGTTTCGTCAGTCGGCGACGTCGGAAGCGCGGTTACGGTTCCAAGCCTTTCTCGCGAGCTTCCGTCCGTAGAGCTTCTCGCCCTGTCACGTTTTCGGAATCCGTACTTCGGCGATTCCTGAGGTTGAATCTCCGCAAGAAACCCTCGAGGCGCACGTTAATCACCCGCCAATAAACGACAGCAGCGGCTTGAGTTTATACAGCGCCCTTCGCGCGGGGTAGAGTCCCGGATACCCTCGGCAGTGGCGGAGTCTGAACCCGAGCCATGGGGGAGAGGGAGGGAGGGAGGGAGGGGGGAAGTGACCGTAAGCACGATCAAAAAGGAGAGTCTTCAGTGGGGAGGGAAGGGGTCAAGGCGGAGGGACTGAGGGAGAGAGTTCCAGTGTTTCGGGGCATAGTGGCTGAAGGCACGGCCACCGACGGGACAAGGGACAAGCAGGAGGCCAGAGGCAGCGGGTGGTGAAGTGGCGGTTAAGCAGATCGCTTTTCCGGGGGAAATAATCCCTTCAAATAAAATCCACGACTGTTTGCGGGGACGCTGCTGGGCGCGATTGGCTGCCGCGTTTTGCCCACAAAACACACAGTCCATTCACTTTGCAGTGTACTCTGCGAAGCGCTTTGAGACGTCTCGAAGACGCGATAAGGCGCTGTATCAAATGCGAGGGTTGTTATTGCTCAGCGGGTTAACTTGTGCTTGTAAGCGACCCTTCAATGCAGTTTCTGTGTCTCCAGGTCCTACCCTACTCCTGACCAGCGATAGCATCCGGCAGAGGCTGGGAGCATCAGCACTGGACAGGTACGTGTGTGTGAGAACTGCCCGGGCAGAACATCAGCTGAATTTCATCTCCCTCAGTTGGTACCTGTCCGAAGCGGCTCCTTTCAGATTAATTCTACGCGTTTCAGAATCATAGAATATTACAGCACAGAAGGAGGCCATTGGGCTCACCGTGTCTGCGCCAGCTCTTTGGAAGGGCTTTCCAGTTAATCCCACTCCCCCGCTCTTTTCCCCCCCCCGTATCCTTGCAAATTTTTCCTTTTTAGTACCTGTCTAATTCCCTTTTTTTGAAGTTGTTATTGAATCTGTTTCCACCATCCGTGTCTTGATTTACACGTCCGTCCTTCAGGTGAGATGTTAAACCGAGCTCCCGTCTATCTGTCTGTCTACCTGTCTGTCTGTCAGTCTGTTCCGGTGGACGTTAAAGATCTCGCGGCGCTATTTGCTCTCTCCCGGTGTCCTGGCTGACAATCCCCAAAATAAAATTGGTCAGTCAATCCACAGCTGTTTGTGGGACGCTGCTGTGTATAATTGGCTGCCACTTTTCTCCCACAAAATACATTCAAATTCACATTACAGTGTTATCCTGTGAAACGTTTTGAGACGTCTCGAAGGCGTGATAAGGAGCTGTAATATTATTTTGTAGCATCCACGAATACCGGCTGTCAGGCTGGCTGGTGCAGCAGGAAGACATCCACCGCATTGTCCTGTACCAGACCGACTACACCATGACCCCCTGGACCCAGCGCTGTGTCCGCCAAGCTGACTGTATCCTCATCGTGGGGCTGGGCGATCAGGAACCTGCTTTGGGAGAGGTGAGTACAGGCCCCACAACAGCGCTACAGGAGTCCCGTAGTGCAGTGGACTCGCTTCGCGAGCGAGAGGACCCGGGTTCGAGTGTTCCAGAGTTTCGGGGCGTAGTGGCTGAAACCGCGACCTCCGATGGTGGGGCGGAGGGTGCGAGGGACGAGCGGGAGGCCCGGGGCCAGATGAGCGGAGGCGCTGACCGGGTGGTGGATTGGGGAGTGAGGAGGCCGGAGGGGGAGGGAGGTGCCAGAGAGGGAAGGGATTTGAACGCGAGAGTGAAGATCTTGCAGTTGATGCGTTGGGTGATGGGGGGAACCAGTGGAGCCTGGGCCAGAGCTGGTGAGACGTGGGGACGGAGTTTGTTCGGGGTCAGTATGTGGGCGGCAGAGTGTGAATGAGCTGATCTTGTGAATAGTGGAGCTGGGGAGACCGGCGAGGAGGGGGTTTCAGTAATCCAGGCGGGAGGTGACAAGCACATGCACGAGGGTTTCGGCTGTGTGCCTGTGTCTCTGTGACCCTGTGTGCCTGTGCCCCACGCCTCCCCTGCAGCTGGAGCAGATGTTGGAGAACACCGCAGTGCGAGCGCTGAAGCAGTTGATCCTGTTACACAAGGAGGACAGTCCCAGCCCCGCCCGCACTGTCGAGTGGCTGAATATGAGAAGCTGGTGCTCGGGGCATCTCCACATCAGGTGCCCCCGGAGGATCTTCTCACGTCGGAGTCTTGTCAAATTGGTAATTGCCCCCTCTGCCCTCCCCTCTTCTCCCCTCCTCGCCTCCCCTCCTCTCCCCTCCCCTCCTTTCCCCTCCTCTCGCCTCACCTTCCCTCCTCTCCCCTCCTCGCCTCCCCTCCTCGCCTCCCCTCCTCTCCCCTCCTCGCCTCCCCTCCTCTCCTCTCCCCTCCTCTCGCCTCACCTCCCCTCCTCTCCCCTCCTCACCTCCCCTGTTCGCCTCCCCTCCTCTCCCCTCGCCTCCCCTCCTCTCCCCTCGCCTCCCCTCCTCACCTCCCCTCTTCTCCCCTCGTCTATTAAATCTCCCTTGAATCTTCTCTGATCTGAGGAGAACAATCTCAGTCTCTCTAGTCTCTCCTTATAACTGGAGCCCCTCCTCCCCCCTGGGATTTTATTATGTATTATTTGCTATTTGGTCATTTGAGAGATGGTCAATATTAATAATATTATATAATATTGTCTTGGTGCTGGGCGGTCAGGATAGCCAGCACAGCCTTGTCGAGGTGGAAGTGGAGTCCTGTAGCCCAGTGGTTTAGAGCGCTCACCTCGTAAGCGAGAGGACCCAGGTTCGATTCCCGGGCGGGTCAGGGCGAAACCTTAGGCAACTTCCCTTACTCCACTTTGTGAGACGTCTTGAAGACTTGATAAGGAGCTGTATCAAATGCAAGGATTATTATCATCATCATTATTATATCATCCGCGTCTGTCCTTTTCAGAAAGAGATGTACGAAAAGGTGTTTCAGAAAACGGTTGACCGGCACAGTGACTTTTCCCGTCTGGCGCGGGTCCTGACCGGGAACACCATTGCCTTAGTCCTGGGCGGAGGTGGAGCCAGGTAACTAACACAGCCTTGTCGTGGTGGTGGGTGGCGAAGTTGGAGCAAATTAATGATAGGAATCTTTAGCATTTTGCACGTAGAGAGTCCTATAGTGTCTTGGTTAGAGCGCTCCCCTCGCAAGCGAGAGGACCTGGGGTCAATTCCTCAGCAGCACGAAACCTTGGGCAAGTTTCCTTCCTCCACACACACACACACACACACATTTACACACACACACACACATACGCCTCTGTTTGCCCAACAGTAAGTAGGAACCCGGTAGCTGGTCGATTGGCGGATCGCTTTTCCGGGGATAATAATCCCTTCCAAAAAAAAATGCTAATAATAATTTGGTCACTCAATCCACGGCTGTTTGTGGGGACGCTGCTGTGCGCAAATGGCTGCCGCGTTTCACCCACAAAGTACACAGTCACCGCACTTTACAGTATATTCTGTGGAGTGTCTGAGACGTCTCGAAGACGTGATAAGGCGCTATTTCAAATACAATGCAAAATTTGTTTACACGGCGCCTTTCACGTCGGGAAGACGTCCCAAGGAGCTGGACAGTCAGGGATTTGCACCCGAGCTGGGGGTTGGGATCAGGAGGGGTGGAGGGTCGAGGGAGGAGGGCGGCTGAAGATGTGGTCGATGAGGAGGGTCTTGAGATGGGCCTTGAAGGTGGCAAGCGAGGTGGGGGGGTGGGGGAGGCAAAGGGATCGTGGGAGTGGGATGGAATTCCAGAGGGTGGGGGCAGAGAGGCTGAAAGCCCGACCGCCGATGGTGGGCAGGGTCGGGGATGTGGAGATTATTATTAGTATAAGGACCAGAAGCCACCGAGTTGCTGTTGTTGCTGAGTTCAGTCCCCCCCCCCTCTCTCTCTTTCTCTCTCTCTGGCCGACAGAGGCTGCTCACACGTGGGGGTGATGAAAGCCATGGAGGAGGCCGGCATTCCCATTGACATCGTCGGGGGAACCTCCATCGGCTCGTTCATAGGAGCCCTGTACGCCGAGGAGCGCAGTGCCGTGAGAACCAAACAGCGAGCCAGAGAATGGGCCAAAGTGAGTGACCGTCAAAGCTGCTCGCTCGCTCGCTCGCTCATCACACCCAGGCTCGAATACGCAAACTCCCTGCTCGTCGGCCTCCCCAACTCCTCCCTCCGCAGGCTGCAGATCATCCAGAACCCTGCAGCCCGTGTCCCCTCCCGCACCGGGCTCCGTGACCCTATCACCCCCATCCGCCCCCTTGATTCCACTGGCTTCCCATTACACGGAGGATACAGTTCAAGATCCTGGTCCTCACCTTCAAAGCCCTCCATGGCTTCACTCCCCCACCCCCCACCCTACCTCTGTGACCTCCTAACCCTCTACCCCACTTCAATCACAGACTGTGTCCTCTGGTTCTACTGCTCATTACAAGATAAAACTGTATTTAGTTTTACACTGGTTAGATTTCAGCAGTTACCCCCAACAACACTCTGGGTCCCCCAAGCCTTGGTTCTTGCCAACCTGCGCCTAATACTCTCTGGAATTAGATAATCAGGATGCATCCCTCCAGGGAGAGAGAGAGAGAGAGCACATTCCATTCCAACTGTATCTCGGGGATTTCCATGTGTAGGTGGGATCCAGGGAATTCTCAGCTGGTTTTGGAGACTCTTAAGCAACGGTGATGGGTTTCCGCACGTGTCGGACACCTGGCTGACCCCCAAAAATTTAAAATTGTGTTGCAGAGTGATCAAGACATTGTGATACCATTACATTGCCTAATAAGTCTTAAAGAAATGATGATTTTGTTTTAGATAATAGGGTAGATATACCGAGCGTGAAGGGCGCTATGTAAATGCAAGTTGTTGTAGATATCACGACTGTATTTCCTTCCTCCCTCAGGCCATGAACTCAGTCTTCAAAACTGTGTTGGATCTGACCTACCCCATCACCTCCATGCTCTCGGGCTCAGCGTTCAACACCAGCATCGCCGAGGTCTTTGAGGAGAAGCAGATCGAGGTGAGCAGACACCGTGAAGAGCTTCGTCTAAAAGTACACAGTCACTCCACTCCACAGCAAAATCCTGTAAAGCCCTTTGAGATATCTCAGCGGAGTCCTGCAGCTCAGTGGTTAGAGCACTCGCCTCACAAGCGAGAGACCTGAATTTGATTCCCGGCGGGGCCAAATTTTTTTTTTACTCCACACGCCTCTGTGTACCCAGCAGTAAGTTGGAACCCGGTTGTTAGTCGATTGGCCGATCGCTTTCCGGGGGTAAAAATCCCTCCAAGACAAATAAATAATTTGGTCACTCAATCCGCGACTGTTTGTGGAGACGGTGCTGTGCGCAATTGGCTGCCGCGTTTCGCCCACAAATTATACAGTCAATTCACTTTACATATATCCTGTGAAGCGCTTTGAGACGTCCCGAAGATGTGATGAGGCCTGATATCGAATGCAAGCATTACTGTTTTTATTGTTCACTACACCTCATTAGTTACCAGCTAATCTGCTTCGCTTTCCTCCCCAGGACCTGTGGATTCCGTATTTCAACGTGACGACAGATATCACAGCTTCCGCCATGCGAGTGCACAAGGATGGTAAGAGGAACACGTTCGCTGTGGGCTGGGACAAGGGAAACCTAAGGACATCTTTAAAACTATCTGATTGCTCAGTGTTAGCTTGGGGATGACCAGTCGTTAGAAAGCACAGGCGAGTGACGGGAGGACACACACAGAGCATAGCTCGAGGCTCCGTACAGGGTGTCCACAAAGTCCTGTTACAACACAGCGATAGGCAGGGCGAAACATTGGGCAAGTTTCCTTACTCCAAACACACCTCTGTTTATCTGACAGTAAGCAGAAACCCGGTTGTTAGTCGATTGGTGGATCGCTTTTCCAGGGGGTAATAATCCCTTCAAATAAAAAAAATAATAATGCGGTCACTCAATCCACGGCGGTTTGTGGAGACGCTGCTGTGCGCAATTGGCTTCCGCGTTTCGCCCACAAAATACACAGTCACTTCACTTTACAGCGTATCCTGTGAAGCGCTTTGAGAGGTCTCGAAGACGTGATCAGGCTCTTTATCAAATGCAAGGGTTGTTATTGAGATATGAGATAACTGCATTGAGTGAGGAGCTGAAACAAGCCGCCAAAAGATAACAGTTCGCCTCCTCACTCCATCCGTGTTTCGGAAGATTTGTGGGACGAGCTGGACAGCTCTTTCAAAGAGCCTGCACAGGCACGATGGGGCCGAATGGCCTCGATCCGCGCTGTATGATTTTATGTGGTACCAAACGTGGCGACAGATCGTTATCTGCCGTGAAAATGAGTGGCGCTCACTCACACGCTCGCTCACTCACTCTCACTCAATGCAGTTAAACACTTGCACTGAATGCAACAAAGTCACTTCTAAATACAATGATCATGTTTCAGTTGTCGGGCCAGTGCAGGTGGGCGGAGGTGGGGTGGTTCGGGGGGTGTAACAGGGCTTTGTGGGCACTTTGTACAGCAGTAAGTCAGTAAGACAAGGAATTCGAAAGGTTCGTGTCATCTCGGTTTCATCTCTCTGTGTTTTTATAGTTTTCCTCCCTCTCTTTCCCTCCTCTCCTCAAGACCTTTCACTATGTTATTTCTTGTGGTGTTGGGCGTGGTGGGGGGGAGTGGGGGGAAATTGTCCCACATGAGGTTCTCGACACCTTACTCCAGGGGCTGTTGTTCATTGTCACGTTAGAGAATGAGCCCCCAGGCACGTGAGTAATGGGGAGGGAGTTGGGGGAGGGGGGTGGGGGCGTGTTAATTGTTCCCCTTCACACTGCAATACAATTTACATTTGCTGTGAACTCCTGATAACTCGTCCTTGGCTTAACTCGCCACGACCACTTCAGTCAGTAAGGTCCAACCTTTTGGCTGCCGAGGGCCGGATGCCCCATTTGGGAAACATCCGTGGGCCGCGTAAGCAATATTTTTGGGGGTATTTTTCCTTCCGGAGACATAACGTAACAAGATTTACAGGTTACGGAGGGAGGGGGCGGGCCGGATGCAACGGAGAGAGTGTGGGGGAGGAATTAAATCAGTCTGAGGGCCGGATGCGGCCCGCGGGCCGCCAGTTGGACCACCCTGACTTAAGTCATCACGCTGTCAAGATCCCGGCCGCATTTTTATGTATTTATACATACGCTTAACCCGACGCTCCTGATGACTCACTACTAAGCCCCTCTTACCTCGGTGCGACAAGTTATCAGGACTTTACTGGACATAGTTAGTGCTTTTCAACCGCGAGAGGACATCGCAAAGCATTCGTTCTCCCTCATGTGCAGCATCCCCTGCTGTCCGGCAGCCCCCGGCAGCCAGGGCTGGGGAGAATGGCCTGAATCTCGAGAGCTTTATTGCCCTGAAATGCATTACCCTCCTTGGGATGGGGGGGCCGGGAGAGGTGGAGGAGGTCAGCAGGGTCTCCTTGGAGCTAAACTGGCCCCACGGTGACATGCCCGGCAGTAGATTGTCAGAACAGTGCCATCCCTCTGTGACGGTCTCCAGTCCCGGTTCCTGAGCCAGGAGGGGCCGCAGGGTCCCAGGGCACTCACTGCCGATGGCAGCACAGCCCGGCCTCGGCTCATCGGCAGGACCTGGAAGGGTCGACCAGTCACTGGGGGCAGGGAATCCTCCCCCTCAGCTCCCGTTAACCCCGCAGCCAAAGCCCTGACTAACGGGGAGGGTGGTCCTCGCTGGACAAGCAGCGGGAAAGCTCGGCCCAGACACAAATGCATCAGGTGAGAAACGATTGATATGGAAAGGATGTGCTGAGCAGTATTGACGGTGAAAATTAAATGGTTCTGATTTGGGGTAGAAGAAAAGAAGAGGGGGAGGGGGTCGGACACAGACAAACAGCTGCAGATTTTTGCTTCAACTGGTTCAGGTAGTTTTACCTGTGGTGATCGCAGCAAAGCTCCACTCCGCCCTGGAGATCAGCGCCTCCTGTTTGTCTTTCTCTCTCCCCCTCTCCCTCTCCTCTCTATATCTCTCTCTTGTTGATAATGTCGCCTTCTTTTGTTTCTTCATCGATTTCCGCAGAGACTGATCGAGTCGCGGCGGCGCAGACTAGGTTTAGTCTCGCGCCCACTAAGTTGCACGTCGTAACAACCGCTTATTAAAACTCCCGGCTGCGTTCCTTCCGTTCACGTTAGCGTAGTGACTGGGCTGGCGTGCTGGGTGGGGCATTACCGTTTGTCACCCACAAGCATTTGTCCGGCCCTTGAGAGAGTAGAGGCTGTAAACTAACCAGGGTTGTGGTCACCCCTTCCTGCCACCGCCGTCTGCTTTCCTTTCTTGTCTTTCCAACCCCTTGGTCTTTCTGTCGCGAGCGTGAAACAACAACAACTTGCATTTACACAGCGCCCCGCACGCGGGGTAGCGTCCCAGAGCGCGGAGCACGGGGCGAGTGGGGGGAGCGGGGAGGCGATCGTAGGCGCGCACGAGTGGAAGGTCCTCAGGCGCGACCTGAAGATGGAGAAGGAAGGGGGGCGGGGGGGGGGGGGCGAGGCGGAGGAGGAGGGATTGAGGAAGAGTGTTCTATAGTTTTTATTATTACTATTAACGTGCACGCGCCGAGCTGGTGCGAACGTTCGGCGGGCGACTGCCTGAGATGGTGCAATCCTCCAGTGTAGTGGTCAGAGCACTCGCTTTACAGGCGAGAGGGAACCGGGTTCAACTCCCGGATGAAACCTTAGGCAAATTTCCTTGCTCCGCGCGCCTCTGTTTACCCCACAGTTGTTAGTCGATTGGCGGATCGCTTTTCGGAGGGAAATAATCCCTTCAAAAAAAAAAGGATAATCCGGTCACTCAATCCGCGAGTGTTTGTGCGACGCTGCTGCGCGCAATCAATCGCCTGCTGCGTTTCGCCCGCAAAACGTACGCAATGCACACTTTACGGTATATTCTGTGCAGCGCTTTGAGGCTTCTCAGCAACGTGACGAGGTGCTGTATGAAATGCAAGGATCATTATTATTCTTGCTGTCACTTCCCCGCGAGCTGATCCTTTTTAACAGGAAAACCGGGATAACGAGGAGACAATTTCCCCTTTCCGAGCTTTTATTAACCTCACAGCTGCTAACGTCACCCAAGACCAGACGCGGGTCTGAGTGTTTGGATGTCTCTCAGTCTGGCGATAGAACGTACTAAACCCACCCACTTTAACTTCATTCTCAAGTACCTGTTCACGATATAATAATGTCTGGGGATACAGTATATAGTTTGGGACACAGTATATAGTTTGTGCGCGCGTCTGCCAGGACGCTGGAAGGCAAACCGGATGGACCTTGGTCTTCTTTGGCCCGGCAAATTCTTATTTTCTTTGCGATATTATTCCGAAACACTGGCCTGATTTTTTTTTTAACAAAGCTAATTCCTCCTTTTAAAATCAACCCGATAACCACAAGTGGCTCCTAAACGGGGTCAGGATCCATCTCAGTATTTCCAACTTGGATAAGCAGCTTCGTTAGCGCCGCTCTTGACTCAGTGAGTTCTCATTTCTTCACCAAAAAAATTGAAAAACTATATTCGAAAACCTAAAATTGTACATTTTTTTGTAAATGTATATACAGTATTATATATAATATATATATATATGAATGATTCATTAGATATCGGGTGTTTAATGGATGTGCACTGCTTTATCCCAGCACTACAATTCTCTAATTTATACTTTACCACAAAGGTAATTATTTTTGTAAGCTCTGAATTTTATCTCCGCAGACCCCAACTTCTCTCTCCTTCCCTCTCCCTCCCCCCCACCCCACCCCCCTCTCTCTCTCTCGCTCGTCCTCCTCTCTCCCTGTCTCTGGCTCTTTTGTGTGCAAGTGCATGTGTTCCTCCCTCCCTCCATCTCAGTATTTGTCTCATTCTCTGTCTCTGTTTGCCTCCCCCTCCCTCCCTCCCTCTCTCTCTCTCTCTCTCTCTCTCCAAGTCCCTCTCTTTCTCTCTATCATAAATAAGCTTGCGGAATGGGCAGATAGATAGTAGATAAAGACGATTAGGGGGAAAATATAAAGCGGTTCACTTTGGTAGGTAGAGCAAAGACTATATCTGGAAAATAAAATAATCAGGATAGTCCTTTACCTCTGCTGTAACCTGCCCACTTCAAGTCAGGAGGGGAGCCCTGCAGCTCAGTGCTTAGAGCACGTGCAAGCGAGAGGACCCGAGTTCGATTCCCGCCAGGGCGAAACCTTGGGCAAGTCTCCCCACCCGGCAGTAAGTAGGAACCCGGTTGTTGGTCGGTTGGAGGATCGCTTTTCCGGGGGTAATGATCCCTTCAAAAAAAAAAAGAGTCAATAAATAATAATTTCGTCAACTCGATCCACGGCTGTTTGTGGGGGCGCTGCTGTGGGCAATCGGCTGCCGCGTTTCGCCCACAAAATATACAGTCAATTCACTTCGCAGTGTATCCTGCGAAAAGCGCCGCTTTGAGACGTCTCGAAGACCGTGTCAAAAGCGAGGATTATTATTATGTCGGGTCTCGGGATGCTCCACAGGATGTACTGCATTGTCAGAGGGGCTGTGTTTCGTGTTTTCCTGGATTTTAGGAGCCTAACGTGCACACTGGAGGCACAAAGGGATCGAGGGATTCAGATTCACGGACTCTTAAAAGTAGCAGCTCAGGTGGACAAGGCAATGAAGAATGCAGATAGAGTCCGTGGTTTCCTGTCCAGGGAAATAGGGTGCAAAATAGGAACGGAATACTAAATGTATGTAAATGCTTGGTTAGGCTATGTTTGGAGCTGTGACCAGACTAGTTGGGTTGGATAGCCTAACATACTGTATTACTCTTAGTAAATACATAATTCCCTTTCTGTGTGTCTCTCTCTCTCACTCTCTCCTCTCCTATCCTATCCCCCCCCCAATCTCCTGCCTCTCTCTCCGTCTCCTCGCTTTATTTACCCCACCTTCTATGTTCTGGTCCTCGTCCCCCGCCATCTCTCTCTTCTTTTTGCCTCTCCCTCTCCATCTCTCACACGCTCTGCGTATCTCTCTGCAGCTCAGTAGTTGGAGCACTCGCCTCCCAAGCGAGAGGACCCAGGTTTGATACCCGGGTCAGGGTGAAACCTTAGGCAAGTTTCTTTACTCCACACGCCTCTGTTTACCCGGCAGTACACTTAATCTGCGACCGTCTGTGGGACCTTGCTGTGTGCAATTGGCTGCCGTGTTTCGCCCACAAAAAATATATTTACAATATATTCTGTGAAGTGCTTGGAGACGTCTCAACGACGTGATAAGGCGCTGTATCAAATGCGCGGATTATTATTACATTATATAGTTTTTGAACACTTTTATTACACCTCCCCTTAATCTTCTCTGGTCTAAGGAGAATTTCCTGACCGCAATTATAGCTGTGACTGAGATTGACACAGAGCAGAGATGGAGTTGTCTCTATCCTGTCCAGCTCAGTGCCGAAGTTGTTGTCTTGTTCCTAAACTATTTTACAATAATAATTTGGTCACTTCAATCCATGACTGTGGGACGCTGCTGTGCCCAATCGGCTGCCGTGTTTCGCCCACAAGATATACAGTGAATTCACTTTACGGCGTATCCTGTGAAGCGCTTTGAGACGTCTCGAAGAGGTGATGGGGGCTATTTCAAATGCGAGGATTATTATTGTTATTCTAAAAATACTAACGAGAATTGTGGAAGGACTTAAATCAGCGTTGCATCCATCAAACAAGCCTTTAAGAGAACGTTTCCTTGAAGCCTGCGCCAAACAGCACACCCCAGCCCCGGCACATCACAATTTGCTGCCGCGTTTCGCCCGCAGAATACACACAGTCAATTCACTTTGCAGTATATATCCGGGTTCAATTCCTGGGAAGGGAGAAACGTTAGGCACGTTTCCTTACTCCACACACACACACACACACACACACGCGCACACGCCTCTGTTTACCCAGCAGTACGTAGGATCCCAGTTGTTAGTCGATTGGCGGATCGCTTTTCCGGGGTTAATAATCCACAATAGCGCTTTGAGACATCTCAGCGATGCTGTATCAAAATGCACGGATTATTATTATGATTATTATGATTATTAATAATAAAACGTGGACTATCTCTGGGTTTCGGCTGCAGAAGGCATGCAGTCGGGCAATGAACAGGAGCAGCCAGACAGTCAGTCATAGAGTAAAAAGAGTCCGAAGTGGCGGAGGCAGTGAACGGGAGCATAGTTGGTTGGCGGGAGATTAGTGATTCGTAGGAACAGGAGGAGGCCATTCAGCCCCTCGAGCCTGTTCTGCCATTTTGTTAGATGGTGGCTGATCTGTACCTCAACTCCAATCATCTGTCTTAACCTCCATATCCCTTGATACCCTGAGCTACAAACATCTATCCACCTCAGTCTTAGTCCTGGTAATGGTTAGGTATATGGTTCCTGGAGCCCACTCCCACCCTCCGTGGAAGTTTCCGATGACTGAAGGGGAATGTCCGCACTGCTCCAGAGCTCAAAGCTTACCTACCCCGGGAGTGTTATAGAGTCTGTGCTGGGGCTCGCTCCCCGCACTGGAGCTCTCTACTCTAACCCCATTCCCTGCTCGCTCTCCCTCTCTCTCTCTCTCCCCCCCATTGTGTCTGTGCTGGGGCTCGCGCCCCCACTGGAGCTCTCTACTCTACTCTAACCCCATTCCCTGCTCTCTCTCTGCCCCCATTGTGTCTGTACTGGGGCTCTCTCCCCCACTGGAGCTCTCTACTCTAACCCCATTCCCTGCTCTCTCTCTCTCTCTCTCTCCCCCCATCTTGTCTGTGCTGGGGCTCGCTCCCCCACTGGAGCTCTCTACTCTAACCCCATTCCCTGCTCTCTCTCTCTCTCCCCCCATCGTGTCTGTGCTGGGGCTCGCTCCCCCAATGGAGCTTTCTACTCTCATCCAATTTCCCTCGTCTCTTCCCTCACGGCCTTTACCAGTTCCCCTGACATATTTATTCAGTTCCCTTTTAAAGGCTTCATGTTGTGGTAAAGCATCCACATTCCAACGATCCTCAGTGTAATAAATTATTGTTCCTAATGATGATAGGATAAAAAACCTGTTTGGTGTTAGGAGCCACCTCTACCCAACATGATGCTCCTGTGCTTAAACACTCCCACCCCATCTCTCCCGGTCACTTGTGCTGCTTAGAATAATTATTGTCTCAATCCCTCACTTTTAGCCTTCCTGTCGCTATTTACACGTTTGTTTTCTGGCCATCCGGGTGTCCTGACACACGGGGAAACCCATCAAACTCTAACCCCGTTGCTCAAGGGTCTCCAAACCCGACTGAGACTTCCCCACATCCCACCCACACCAGGAAATCCTCAGGATAGACTGTTGAAACGGACCGCGCTCTCTCTCTCTCTCTCTGTTTCTCTCCCTGGAGGCATCCTGATTACCTAATTCCAGCAAGTGTTAGGCACAGGTTGGCAAGAGCCCAGGGTTAGACACGCACAAACACACACACGCAAACACACGCGCGCGCGCACACACTTGGGGGGGGTGGAACGTGCTGTTTCTCAGGCTCACAGGGAATGTTCTCAGTGTTGTTGGCCTTGCCTTGCAGTGCCTTCCTGGTGTGGTGTGTTGCTGTTTCTGACGGTAGCTGTCCCTTGCATGTTGCCCCTTGCCCACCCCACCCCCCCCCCACCCCCTTCACCTTGCACGCAGCCTCTTACCCCCTTGCCCAATGTCCCTTCCCTCCCTTCTGATCCCTTCCCTCCATCCAACTCCCACCCCCACCCCCAACCAACCGCCCGCTCCCAGCCTCTGCTCTGTGGATACTTACTCTCCATCTTCATTCACCAGGCAGTGTCTGGCGTTACGTCAGAGCCAGCGCCTCGTATGTCCCTTATTTACCTCCTCTGTGTGACCCGAAGGATGGCCATTTGCTTGTGGACGGCTGCTATGTAAACAATGTCCCAGGTCGGTGCACATCGGGGGCCGGAGGCGAGATACAGTCAAACCAGCGTCACCATCTGGTGGGGTTGGGGTGGCTGGGGTGGGAGCGGCGGGGGGGGGGGGGGCGGGGGTGTTGTGGGGAGGTGTCTGCAACAAAAAAAAATCAGGTTCTTAAATCCAGGACTGTTTGGCGGAAGGGATGTCGCTGTGTACAGTTGGGCCGCCCACAAAATACACAGTCCGTTGGTCCCTTCAGGTATTTTATTTATCTCTCACCGTGCGCTTTCGAGGCAGGATTCCATTCCGGGTTTATCCAGTCGTTCCTCGGGGCCCCCGTCCGCTCCCTGCCGGCCAAAATTTGGATGACTCGACCTACAGCTGTTCGTGGGACAGACAGACGCTGCTGTGAACAATTGGCTGCCCGCGTTTCGCCCACAAGATACACAGTCAGTCCACCGGATAGTATATTCTGTGAAGCGCTTTGTAGGCATCAAGTCATCGTGCTTCGGTCCGCGCCCAAATCTCTCGTACAAACACGCTTGACCAGTCCCGTGAGCCCCCCGCCCCTCGCTATTCCCCCCCCACCCCCACCCCCCCCACCCTCGGCTGGCTTCTGCTCTTCGCGGCTTGGGGTGTCCTCCTGATGTGAAAAACGCGACACAAATGTAATTTGTTGTTGTTGATGTTGTTGATATGTTGTGGTGAACAGAATAACTAGAGCGTCAAGAGAGTCTCCATTCTCAGTTCTTCGAAGATTATGTTTGCTCACCCCCCCCCCATCCACCCACCCCTCCGCAGGGTCCTTCAGTCAGTGTTTTCTCTTTCTATTGTGCGAGGAGGGGTTGAGAGAGGTAAGATCTTCGGATGAGATGTTAATCTGTCCTTTGCACACCTGTTTCGATGGTCGTTCGGGATCCTAAGGCGCCATTGAAAAGAAAAAGGGGTTTCTCCTCCCGGTGTCCTGGCTGACAATTCCTCCCAAACCGGTCCTTTGCTTTGTGGCTGTTTGTGAGCTCTCTGGGACCCTGCCCTTGCGTGAGGGACGCTATATAAATGCAAGTCGTTGTTGTTTGCGGGACCCGGGTTTTTGCGGACAATCGGGTGCAAATTGGCTGCGAGGTTTCATAAGAATGATGAAAATAATCCTCGCATTTGATAGAGCGCCTTATCACGTCGTCTCAAAGCGCTTCACAGGACGTACTGTGAAGTGGATTTTGACGGTGTGTTTTGTGGGAGAAAGACCGTACAAAATACACCGTCGCTGCACCGCACGGTAAATTCTGTGAAGCAATTTGAGAAGACTTCCCGACGTGAGAAAAGGGTACGACATCGAATCGGGATCGTTAGCGGCAAATATTAATTTTGTGACAATAAGTGAATTCAAATTCCACTGCAGTGTTCCCAGCAACGGAGTGAAAATGTATCGTGTGAGGCTGGTCCTGGCTGTAATCTTAATTCCCTGCCCTTTTCCGCTACTCGTGGCAGAGTGGTCAGAGCCCTCGCCTCGCAAGCGAGAGGACCCGGGTTCGATTCCTGGGCAGGGTCTAACCTCAGGCAAGTTTCCTTACTCCACGCACACGCCTCTGTTTACCAGCAGTAAGTAGGAACCCGGTTGTTAGTCGCTTGGCGGGGTAATAATCCCTCAAGAACAAATAATTTGGTCGCTCAATCCACGACGGTTTGTGGGGACGCTGCTGTGCGCAATTGGCTGCCGCGTTTCGCCCACAAAATACACAGTCACTGCACTTTATACTGTATTCCACGAAGCACTGTGAGACATAACATCGACGTGATAAAGCGCTATTTCAAATGCAAGGATTATTACTATCATTATTATTATTATCCTCTCCCATACTTTTCAGGAGCTTTTGACGTAGCTGCGATTCAGTTGCTACTGTGGCTGGGGGAAGCGGGGTGGGGTGGGGTTTGGGGGGGGAGAGAAAGGGTGGGGGGCGTTGGTGGTGGGGAAGGTAAACAGAACGCTGACTTGTCCCACTGTGGTTCAGAGAAACCGCAGCAGGAAAAGCAGCGCAGCTCTTGTCTTGTGCAGTCACTTTGCGATGCGATGATCTGTCTGTAAGGTTCATTCCCTGCCAACCTCAGGAGCTGTGCAGATTTCTGTTGGCCTGTGAGTAGAATGGTGTGACCCCCCCCCCTCACTTTCTCGTTCTCTCTCTCTCTTTCTCCTTTATTATTTGCTCTTGTTCTCTCTCTCACACACACACACACACACACACCGTGTGCTCTCTCGGCCGCTGATTACATCTGTTCCTCGTGGTTAGGCTCCCTGTGGCGTTACGTGCGAGCAAGCATGTCTCTCTCGGGGTACCTGCCGCCACTTTGCGACCCAAAGGACGGACATTTGCTGATGGACGGAGGCTACATCAACAACCTGCCAGGTACGTATGTGTGTGCGTCCGGGGCGAGAGCGGAGGAGAAAGGTGAGGCTGATAGCAATAGTGTTGGACGCGCTGAAAGCGAACTACAGGCTGACCAAAAAGTCGTGATACCATTACAACAACAACAACAACTTGCACTTACATAGTTCCCTTCGCGCGGGGTAGCATCCCGGAGCGCTTGACAGTGGCGGAGTCCGACCCCCGAGATGGTGGGTGGGGGGGGTGCGGGACGGTGAGAGTTGACTGTAAGCACCATCAAAAAGGAAGGTCTTCGGGCGGGATTTCAAAGTGAGGAAGGGACGTCGCAGTGTCTAATGAGTCTTAAAAAGAAACGATGAAGAAATAAAGCGTTTATCATTGAAAATAAATGGTATCACGACTTTTTGGACACCCTGTATAATCCCCCGTTCTTTTTTTTTTTGGGTGGGGGGTGGTCAGCCGGGTGTCTGACACGTGTGGAAGCCCATCGCCGTTGCTTAAGAGTCTCCAAACCCGACTTGAGAATTCCACGCATCCCACCCACACACGGAAAACTCAGAGATACGCACTCTCTCTCTCGCTCGCTCTCTCTCTCCCTGGAGGGACACATCCTGCTTACCTGATTCCGCAGAGTATTGGGCAATGTTCTTAATAATTATAATTTGAATTATTGATAATAGTAAGCATCATGAGAGTGTTAAATGCGAGTGGGTAGAGAGCTCGCCCCTCGAGCGAGAGACCTGGATTCGATTCCCGGGCAGGACAAAACATCGGGCAAGTTTCCTTCCTCTGTTTAACACAGCAGTAAGTCGGAACCCAGTTGTTTTAGAGTCGATTGGCAGATCGCTTTTCCGGGGTTTAGTAATCTCTGAAAAATATATAGTCGTTTGGTCACTCGATCCCCGAATTGTTTGTGAGACGCTGCTGGGCGCAATTGGCTGCCGCGTTTCACCCACACAACGTGCAGTCACTCCACCTTACAGCGTATCCTGCGAAGCACTTTGAGACCTCTCAACGACGCGATAAATGCGCTGTATCAAATGCGAGGATTATTAGTATTTGTCGAATTCTTTTCCGGATGAGGTAAGTTGGAAATAATAAAATTCGAGAATTGTTATTGTATTATAATTGACTCGAGGATTCTTTAAGTTGAACATACGGACAGACGGGATCTCAGTTTAACGTCTCAACCGCAGGACAGCAACCGAGACTGTGAGCACAAGTATCTGGGCCGGACTTGGACCCACAACCGACCGTTTACTGCCAAATAATAAGAATAATCCTTGCATTTGATACAGCGCCTTATCACGTCTTCGAGGCATCTCAAAGCGCTTCACAGGACATACTGTAAAGTGTTGTGACTGTGTATTTTGTGGGCGAAACACAGCAACCGATCACCCACAGCGGTGTGTCCCACAAACAGCCGCGGAGTCAATGACCAATTGTATCTGGGGGATTGTCGGCCAGGACACCAGGAGAGACGAACCCCCTTCTCCGTTCGAACAGCGCCGCGAGATCTTTAACGTCCACCCGAACAGGGCACAGACGGGGATTGAGGTTTAACGTCTCATCCGAAGAACGGCGTCTTCGACAATGCAACACCGCCCCCACCCCACCCCCACCCCCACCCACCACCCCCAGCGCTGCATTGGAGCGTCAGCTTAGACTGTGATTCCAAGTCCCAACTTGGGGGCTTGAACCCACAACCTTCTGACTCAGGCGAGAGAGAGAGCCCTACGCGACTGAGTCGGGCTGACACACGTATGTAACTTAATGTAATACAATGAGCCTATTGATTCAAGTGAACACAAAAGGATATGGGGAGAGAATCTTTCTTTGCAGTTATCCTGGTTCATATTCCCCTCCTAATGAAAACCTATGCGATTATTAAGGGGCACGACAGAATAGATAGTGGGAGACTTGTTCCCCTGGTTGGAGAAACTATAACCGGGGGGTCACGGTTTTAAAATTCGGGGTAAGCCCTTTCGCACTGAGTTGAGGAAAAACTTCTTCACTCGGAGGGCAGTGAATTTATGGAATTCTCTACCCCCCAAAGGGCTGTAGATGCTCAGTCCTTGAACATATTCGAGACTGAGATTGATAGAGTTCTTGTGGATAAAGGGATTAAGGGATACGGGGATGAGGCGGGAAGGTGGAGTTAGAGTAGATCAGCCATGATCTTATTGAACGGCGGGGCAGGCTAGAGGGGCTGAATGGCCTCCTCCTGCTCCTAACTCTTACGTTCTTGTGTTCGAGTTAATTTCCAAATTCAAATCTATTGGCAGCTTAAAACTAACATTTTTTTGTGAGGCTTTTTTTTTGTTGCCTGTAACGCAACATTCGCTTTCTAATTTTCCAATCAGTTTTATTTTGTGAAACGCTCTCTTTCCCCTGGTCACACTGACGTAGAAGTTGTTCAGTAAAAAAAAAGCTACTAACGCACGTGAAGGCTTCTTGTCTTGTGTTCATAATAAGTCGTAATACTCCTTACATTTTATACAACTCCAGGAGGACCTCTTAAGGAACTTCACGGGATTTAATGTGAAGTGTAGTGGCTGCGACATGACATGTCAAGCGACTGCCAAGATGGTGGAAGGCGAAACTAAGTGGACCTTGGGTCGTCTTACGTTCTTATCTGTCGGGAAACAGCTCCAATTTGCACACAGCAAATGTCCACAGACAGCCACGGAGGGAACGACCGATTTTATTTGGGGGCATTGTTGGCCAGAACACCGGGAGAGAGCGAGAGAGAGAGAAACTCCCTCCTCTTTTCGAACAGGACCTCTGACGTCCACCTGAAGAGGCACGCGGGAGCTTGGGTTAACGCCTCATCCAAAGAACAGCACCTCTGACACGCGCTCCCCCCACCCCCCTCCCCACTCCCCCGCACTGTAGCCTCGTCTGCGTGAGTTCCAGTCTAGATGTGGGGCTTGAACCCACAACCTACTGACTCCGAGGTGAGAGCACAGCAACCGACTGAGCCGGGCTGACCCCCTTTTGGTGCAAGGGATGAGCTAATGGGTGCCTATCGTGCCATGTTGGAAAAGAACGGGTTCGGAGGTCGCTCGCCGTGTCGCGTGCCGCGATGGCCGGCGCGAGGGATCATCCCCATCTCCTGCCGGGCACCGGGAGACCGGATCTGGGCATTCGGGGATTGAGATCAGGCTTTGGAGTGAATTCCTCGAAGGATTTTCTGAGGCACAGTTGGAGGGTGTCCAGTGGGGATATTTATAGATCCTCTGTGTATCTCACAAATTAGTCAGCTCTCCCCCCCCCCCCCACCACCAACCCTCCCCCACACTACCCCCTCCCCCCGTGGAGTAAGGGGCAAAACCTTCGGCAAGTTTCCTTACCCCACACCCACAAATCTGTTTATCCAACAGTGAGTAGGAACCCGGTTGTTAGTCGAATGGCGGATCGCTTTCCCGGAGGTAATAATCCCTCTCCTCCCCTCCCCTCCCCTTTCCCCCCCCCCCAAAGAAATTGATCACTCAATCGTGTTTGTGGGGACGCTGCTGTGCGCAATTGGATGCCGCGTTTCGCCCACAAAATACGCGGCCAATTCACTTGACAGTGTATCCTGTGAAGCTCTTTGAGACGTCTCTACAACATGCGAAGGTGCTATGTCAAATACAAGGATTATTATTACAGTGGTACAGAGAGATGTGCTGAGATCTCTCGCTCTCTGGGGTCACTCAAGCTCCCCCAGGTTTTCATTCTCTCTCTTTAACGATCTCTCTCTCTTTAACGATCGCAGCGGATATCGCAAAGACCCTGGGAGCGAAGACGGTGATCGCCATCGACGTGGGGAGCCAGGACGAAACCGATCTGTCCAACTACGGAGACAGCCTCTCGGGGTGGTGGCTGCTATGGAAACGCCTGAATCCGTGGGCGGAAAAAGTCAAAGTAGGAAACGAGCACTGTTGATTTTTTTTTCATCATCATCATCATCATAATAATAATAATAATAATCTTTGCCAAAAAAACAGAAGTGGCCGGGGAACCCTCAGCGTCTATGGAGAGAGAGGAAAGTGAGTCAACATTTCAGGTCGATGATGATCTTTCATCAGACCTGTGCGCGATTCCAAGTCCCGATTTGGGGGCTTGAACCCACAACCTTCTCACTCCGAGATGAGAGTGCGCTCCCGGCTGAGCCAGGCTGACGCAATGCATTTTGCCCGCAAAATATATAGTCACTACACTTCACAGTATATATATCCTGTGAAGCGCTTTTGAGACGGGATGAGGCGCTGGATCAAATGCGAGGATTATTATTATTATTATTATTACAGATGGCACAGCACACACTTAACGCCAGTGATGCCCTCTGACCCAGACGTATCGGGGGGCAATTGTCTGCTTCGGGGGGTGGGTGGTGGGGGGTTGGGGGTGGATAGAGTTTACCTCATTGGAAGAGATGCAGAAGAGAGCCCCCTCCGCAGCCCCCTACCTACCATCACCATCACCACCACCACCAACCCCAAACCCATCGTGGGTTCCTAATCACCGTTAGTTAAAGAGAGGTGTGTGTGTGCGTGTGCGTGTGTGTGTGGAGTAAGGAAACTTGCCTAAGGTTGCTCCCTAATCTCCTCGGCGTCTGCTCCCGCGTCTCGCCTTTGCTCAGCGTTCCTCCCCCCGTGCTGTTGGCAGGTGCCGGACATGTCGGAGATCCAGTCGCGCCTGGCCTACGTGTCTTGTGTGCGGCAGCTGGAGGTGGTGAAGGGCAGTGCCTACTGCGAGTACATCAGGCCTCCCATCGACCGCTTCAAAACCATGGACTTCGGCAAGTTTGACGAAATTTACGTGAGTGCGAAATCCGTCCTTTGCTACGCAACGTAGTCCGTTCCGTCCCGGGCGAACCCCACGCCGATGAATGACGTCCCCGAGGGCAGCCGCCGGCGTGTGGCATGCGTGTGCGTGCGTGCGTGGGCATGTGCGTGTACATGGTTGCCCTGTAGGTCCAGGGTGGTCCAACCGATGGATCACATCCAGCACCCAGACCCCGAACCGGTTCCCCACCGCATCAGCCGACGCCCACACATTGGCGACACACACGGGGCCCCTCCGCCTAGCAATAGGGCCGACCAACCATTACATGGTCACAGGTGGGTGGGCGGGTGGATGGTTGGGAGGGGGCTTAGACCCCGCCCAGTGTTGGTCCACCGAGGTGCTCAATTGGCTGCCGCGTTTCGAACCAAATATACAGTCACTACACTGCACTAATGGCTGCGGGCTCGCGGGGCAGCTGGTCTGGTGGGGGGGGGTGGGTGGGTGCTGTTCTCTCACCCGCGCTCTCTGCCCCCTCTGTGCCGGCAGGACGTGGGGTTCCAGCACGGCAAGGTGGTCTTCGGCGGCTGGAGCCGAGGAGACATCATCGACAAGATGCTGAAGGACAGGAAGTCTCTGGATTTCTCCGAGAGCAAAGAGCGAAACGTAAATCTGCCTCATTTACTCGTGCAATTATTTAACGTTATTAATTCTTGTCGCCTCATTTCATTGCGCCGCGCACGCCGGAGGTCCCGGGTTCGATTCCCGGCAGGCCCCGGGGCGAAACGATTTTCTTTTTACTCCGCGCACGCGTGCCTCTCGCTACCCGGTTGTTAATCGGTCGGCTGATCGCTTTTCTGGGACTTTCAGTAATAATCCTTCCGCCGGCCTCTCCTCTCCCCCACCCCCACCCCCCCGGAAAAAATAATAATAATTTGATCACTCGATCTGCGAGTTGTTGTTGTTGGGCGCCATTGGCTGCCGCGTTTCGCCCACAAAATTACGTTTGTAAAGCGCCTTTCGGGTCGGGGGGGGACGTCCCAAGGCCCTGAACAGTCAGGGATTAGGACCCGAGCTGGGTGGGGGGGGGGGGGGGTTGGGATCAGGTGGTGGGGTGGGGGTACAGAGACGGTAGTAGGGTGGAGTGGTCGAAGAGGAGGGCCAGAGGCCGGCCTTGAAGGAGGCACGGGTGGGTGCGAGGCGAAGGGACTGTGGGATGGAGTTCCAGACGGTGGGGGCATGAAATATACAGTCAATTCATTTTACAGTAAAACCCGTGAAGCGCTTTGAGACGTCTCAAAGATGTGATAAGGCGCTATATCAAATGCAAGGATTATTATTATTGTTATTATTATTATTACCCTGAGGGTGTGGAGGGCTCAGGGTAATAGTAACAATAATAATAACCATCAGTGTAGTCCCCGTGACTGACCCATGTAACATGTGTCACAACCAGGTGTCTGACACACGCGGACATCCATCGCCGTTGCTTAAGAGTCTCCAAACCCGACCGAGAATTCCCCGCATCCCCCCCACACCTGGAAATCCAGAGATAGACTGTTGGAATGGAATGCGCTCTCTCTCCCTCTCTCTCTCCCTGGAGGGACACATCCTGTTTATTTAATTCCGGAGAGTATTAGGCGCAGGTTGGCAAGAGCCAAGGCTTTGGGGGGAGCCCAGAGTGTGCGTTGGGGGTAACTGCTGGAGTCTAACCAGCTAAACCCACACAGCTTGGCCATGGAGAGCCCTGTCTGGCCGAGCTTTCCCGCTGCTTGTCCAGCGAGGACCACCCTACCCCATTAGTCAGGGCTTTGGCTGCGGGGTTAACAGGAGCTGAGAGGGAGGATTCCCTGCCCCCAGTGACTGGTCTGACCTTCCAGGTCCTGCCGATGAGCCGAGGCCGGGCTGTGCTGTCATCGGCAGTGAGTGCCCTGGGACACTGCGGCCCCTCCTGGCTCAGGAACCGGGACTAGAGACCGTCACATAGGGTTGCTTCCATAGGGTTTCATGGGGGTGGGTTCGATGGTGAGTGGGTTCGATGGTGAGTGGGTTCGATGGTGAGTGGGTTCGATGGTGAGTGGGTTCGATGGTGGGTGGGTTCGATGGTGAGTGGGTTCGATGGTGGGTGGGTTCGATGGTGAGTGAGTTCGATGGTGAGTGGGTTCGATGGTGAGTGGGTTCGATGGTGGGTGGGTTCGATGGTGGGTGGGTTCGATGGTGGGTGGGTTCGATGGTGGGTGGGTTCGATGGTGGGTGGGTTCGATGGTGGGTGGTTTCGATGGTGGTGGGTTCGATGGTGGGTGGGTTCGATGGTGGGTGGGTTCGATGGGGGTGGGTTCGATGGTGGGTGGGTTCGATGGTGGGTGGGTTCGATGGCGGGTGGGTTCGATGGTGGGTGGGTTCGATGGCGGGTGGGTTCGATGGTGGGTGGGTTCGATGGTGAGTGGGTTCGATGGTGGGTTGGTGGATTGGTAATTCGACATCCGACGAGTTTTGAGCCTCACGAGGTGGACGGTGGGTATCAGGAACCCCTTGCGAGCTTCCCTGCGTGCAACACAGCTCAGCGTGAAACGGGCAGAGACCATTGCCCCCAGCTTCCCGTCCGCAGCCCTGGCACACGTCCCTTAATAATAACCATAATAATAATCCTCGCATTTGATATCGCGCTTTAACACGTCTTCCCGTCGTCTCAAAGCGCTTCACAGACTATGCGGCAAAGGGAATCGAGGTGCGCAATGTCCCCTTTCCTTTCGAGCGCTCTGGGACGCTGCCCAGCCTCAGGGACAACTATATAAATGCAAGTTGTTGTTGATGTGGTTGTTCCCATTGAGGGATCTGCCCAGCCTTGCTGCGGTTCCCTATGCTCCCGGCTTCTCTGATGTCTCTCTCCCTTTCTCCCCCTTCCACATCCCCCCCCCCACACCCCCCACAGGCCAGTCTGGGGGGCAACGCAGCTTTCACAGACCTCGCCGAGATCGTCTCCCGCATCGATCCCCCCAAGAGCTACCACTTAACAGATGGTGAGTCTGGAAGGAGTTGTCAGAGGGGGTAGAGGGGAAACAGTGGGGAGGATCTATGTGCGTGTGTGTGTGTGTGTCTATGTGTGTAGGTGTGGTTGTGTGTGTGTGTGTGTTTGCGTGTCTGTGTATGTGTGTATGGTGTATGTGTTTGGGTGTGTGTCTATGTTTGTGTCTGTGTTGTGTTTGGGTGTATGTGTCTGTATTTGGGTGCGTGTATGTCTGTGTGCTTGTGTGGTGTGTGTTTGGGTGTGTGTGTCCATGTGTGTGTGTGTGTTACCTCCTCTCGCCAGCCCCTCTCTCACTGACCTCCCCGTGTCTTGCCCCCGCAGCTGAAGAGTCAGATTACCTGACAGAATACGAGGATGAAGCCATGGATGCCATGAGGGGGGAGGAGGAGGAGGGTCAGGAGCCAGAGGGGGCCGAGTGGAACCAGGATCCCGTCTTCGAACCCGTGAGCCACTGAACCAACCGTTTCCCCCCCAAACGCAGCACCTCCTACTGGACTGGACTGGACTGCCTCACCTTCAGCTCCCCACGGCCTCGCTCCTCCCTACCTCTGTGACCTGCTAACTCCATATCAACCTGTCCGTTCCCTCCGCTCAACCTGCTCCATGTCCCCCGCCAGGCCCACCCCACCATCGGCCGTCGGGCTTTCAGCCTCTGCCCCCACCCTATGGAACTCCATCCCTCTTTCTTTCCCTCCCTCCCTCCCTCTCTCACCTTCTTCAAGGCAAGTCTCAAAGACTCTCCTCTTCGACTGCGCCTTCGGTCACCCTCCTACCTCTACCCTCCCTGCCCTCCACCCCGCCCCCCCGATCCCAACCCCCGGCTCGGGTCCAAATCCCTGACTGTCCAGCGCCTTGGGACGACCTCCCGACGTGAGATGAATGTTTTCTGCTGCTTTGACCTCTCCCTCAACGTCTCTCCATCTTCTCTCCCGCAGCCTCTCTCTACCACAATCCCCCATATCCCGTTACCCCCCCCACTTTGTGTTTTCCCCCCCGCGCGCTGACCAACAGCTGAAACATGTGGCAGAACGATGATCATTATGTTTAGAAGCGATTGCATTGTGTTCAGTACAAGTGTTTAATTAACTGCATTTAGATGTCCAGAGGATCAGTGTGTGTGTGTAAGTGAGTGAGTGTGTGTGAGTGAGTGAGTGCGTGTGAGGGAGTGAGTGAGTGCGTGTGAGTGTGTGAGTGAGTGTGTGTGTGCGTGTGTGAGTGAGGGAGTGAGTGTGTGAGCGAGTGTGTGTGCGCGTGTGTGTGTGTGTGAGTGAGTGAGTGTGCGTGTATGTGTGTGAGTGAGTGTGTGTGTGAGTGAGTGAGTGTGAGTGAGGGAGGGAGGGAGGGAGGGAGGGAGCGAGCGAGGGCGCCATCATTTTCAGGCAGACAATGATCGGTCGCCATGTTTGGTGCCACACGTTGTGTAACGCTGATGGGACTCAATGAGGAGACAAACCGCGTCTCTGACAACCTGTTTTAGTGCCCCCGTTGTCTCGTATCACATCGCTGTTTTGTAACCAGGATTGGTGGACACCCTCCACATCAAGGCAATTGGCTGCCGCGCCTTGCCCACAAAATACACAGTCACTACGCTTTACAGCGTATCCCGTGAAGGGCTTTGAGATGTCTGGACGACGTGTTAAGGCGCTGTATCAAATGCGAGGGCTATTATTATTCTGAGTGTGGCAACTGTGAGCTGCGGTGTGGTGAAGGGGCCCCATCAATGCAGGCAGTCAGTGTTGTTGTTGTTGTCAGAGCCTATGGTTGTTTTGCATCAAAATGTGACCCTGGATCTCGTGCCCCCGCAGGAAGAAGAGAGAAACGTCAGGAAGCGGACATCTCTGAAGGCCTCGGAGGAATCGCTCTCCCAGTCCGACACATAAACCACCCCCCGCCACACACACATGATGAATACCCCACACACACACATGAATACCCCACACACACACACATGAATACCCCACACACACATACACATAAATACCCCACACAGACACACACACACATGAATACCCCCACACAGACACACACACACACATGAATACCCCCACACACACACACAGACACATGAATACCCCTCCGCACACACACAGACACATGAATACCCCCCCCCACACACACACAGACACACACACATATACATAAATAGCCCCCCCTACACGCACACATTCCCCCCCCCCACAAACACACACACACACACACACACAGCCCTTGGCCCACGTCAGCAACATGGGAGAAAGGGGGGGAGAGAGTTGCACGAAAAAGGGAAATAGCAAAACCAACCTTTTTTAAACCGCAGAAAAGAAAACCGGTGATGACTTCTCCACTCACACCCCTTAGTTTCGGGCTGACGGAGTGAGGCTGCGTACACAGTCCCAGTCGTGGGAGGGGTGGGGGGTGTGAGGCGTTCTCCTGGCTCAGGATGTGCTCGTTAAGTGCTGAGCTGCCCCCCCCCCCACCCAGCCCCAGCCAGAGGGAACGGGAGAGATGATTGCTGCGCGTGGGACATTTTTCACTGCCGAGTCCTGCAGCTCAGGGGTTAGAGCGCAGGCGAGAGAACCCGGCTTCGATTCCCGAGCGGGTTAGCGCAAACCTCAGGCAGGTTTCCTTTTTTCCGGGGGGGGGGGGGTAATAATCCCGCCAGCCCCTAAAAATAACCCTAATCATAATAACTCGGTCGCTCGACCCACGACTAGTGTGCGCGAGGGAGACGCTGCTGTGCCCGATTGGCTGCCGGGTTTTGCGACAGCTACGCTGCAGTTTATCTGCAGCGGCTGCGAGGCGGCTCGGGACGTTTGCGGGCAGACGCTGCACGAACGCGATTCGCGAGGGCTGCACACGGCTGCTTTTGAGTCGTCGGCCGACGCCGCCGGCCGCACGACTGCCCCGGCGCCCGAGTCGCAGGCACTGCACGGTTGGTGTGAATCGTGCGCAGGTGCCGGGTGGCTGCGCGGCTGAATGCGAGCCAAAGAAGTTCCTCAATTTGTGCGGGTGCGGTGCGTGCGTGCGCGGGTGTGTGTGCGTGCGCGGGTGTGTGCGTGCGGGTGTGTGTGCGCGGGTGGGTGTGCGCGCGGTTGTGTGTGTGTGGGGGGGGGTGGAGGAGGGTGGGGGGGATGGGGGAGAGCGTAATATGTAATAGGCAGCTGCAGTCGGACATTTCCTGCCAACTGTGCTGTGCTGTGCTGTGTGGACAGCTGCTGTGACAGTTAACACGAAGATCGATGGGCCGCAGGAGTGGTGGGGGGGGGGGGAGAGGAAGGGGGGACAGCGTATATAATACTGTATATACCTGTGTTTGTATCTCCCTTCATGGCGCAAGTCCCCAATCTAACTCTGATGCACTGACGTTCTACACTGGAGACCTCACAGAAGCTGCGTTCGTCGGGACCAGACATTTGATATGACTTATGCAAAGTATAAGAGTTAAGAGTCGTAAGAATTTGCTGGACAAAAAGACCAAGGTCCATCCAGTTCACCTTCCACCATCCGGGCCGTCGCTTGCACATTTCACGTCCCAAACTATATACCGCGTCCCCAGGTATTATTTTCCAGCAGAAATCTGTCTCTCTCTGTTCTAGAAGCGAACGACTCTTTCTGCTTTCACCGTCTGTCTCCCTCCCTCCCTCCCTCCTTCCCTCCCTCCCTCCGAAGCCTCTTTCCATAGGTTTACTCCTCGCTCACTGAAGTAGTGCGTCTGCAGAGTCGTTCTGAATTTCTTTCAATCACGAGTTAATGCGAAACCTGTATACGCTGTAGGAAATTCAGCGGCGCTTCGGCAGATGTACAACTTAGGCAATCGCACAATTTATACAGATCGGACTTACCGTAATAGCTTAGGACGGGGGGGGGGGGGGGTTGGGGGAATATCTTGGTATACATACGTAGCTGTTGCTGTTAAAGAGTCCAGCACTGGCAAAAGGGAACTCAGCTCGGAGGAAGAGGGAAGATGGATCGAAGCGAAAGAGACTTTCTCTTGGGATTTCAGCACAAATATTTTATTTCGCCAACGGAAACGACGAGGACAGTTGTCACTTGCAACAGGAAAGCACTTTCTCCGCAACGCAAAGGGACACTGGAGAGCGTGGGTGCGCACCGCCTGCCGGAGCCGACATCAACTGTTCTTTTTTAGCCAGCCGGGCGTCTGACACGCACGGAAACCCGTCGCCGTGATCAGCCGGGCGTCTGACACGCATGGAAACCCGTCGCTGTGATCAGCCGGGCGTCTGGCACGCAAGGAAACCCGTCGCCGTGATCAGCCGGGCGTCTGACACGCACGGAAACCCGTCGCCGCGATCAGCCGGGCGTCTGACACGCACGGAAACCCGTCGCCGCGATCAGCCGGGCGTCTGACACGCAAGGAAACCCGTCGCCGTGATCAGCCGGGCGTCTGACACGCAAGGAAACCCGTCGCCGTGATCAGCCGGGCGTCTGACACGCACGGAAACCCATCACTGTTGCTTAAGATCCTCAAACCCAACTGAGAATTCCGCGCGTCCCACCCGCCCGCCCGCACATGGGAACAAATGTCGGGTTAAAGAGGCACTGCAGAGAGCAAGAGAGAGAGGGGCACAGTCAGCCTGGGGGGGGGGGGGGGGGGGGGGTGAGGGGGGAAGAGTTGTACAGTCCAAATATTTTTGTGGAGGAGAGAGAGAGAGGAGGGGGTGTGGGGGCAGATTGGTTTATCGTTTATTTGGGGAATTAATTTTGCTGTGTTTTGTACAGCGTCTCGTGTGCAATGCTGTCCAAAGCCAACTAACTGTTAATAAATGTCGACGACACTGAACTGTACCCGCTGGAGTTTCGTCCGACGCTCCACTTAATTCCGGTGTCTTTTTCCTCTCTCGCGCTTTACGCCGAAGGGCTCTCAGCGCGTCCGCCACTCCTCTCTCTGCGCCGCCGGTCGTCGGGCGTTGTCGCTGTTCTGCTTGACCGTTGCCTGAATGGCAAAGGGAACAGGTCTGTCCTGAGAGGTGTAACATAGTGGTTCAAGCGTTTTGTCAGAAACCACGCCAAGGACATCACGAAAACCTTTTATTAGCAATCATAAAACAGCACAAGCGCAAGCGTCAAATTACACCCGGCGCATTAATCGTGACCCGTCGCGCTGAAACGGCTACTGAAGCTCTATCTTAACAAGATGCGCTCGACGCTAACATTCTGGACATATTAAAAAAAAATGTGTGACGTATGAGATGTGCCTAAATAATCTCTCAACTGCTTTGTACGTATGTTGGGCGCGTGTTTTAGTCGAGCGGGAGAGATGCTCTCCGGCAGGCAGGACAACCGTGACCAAGGAAGGGCAAGACCGACGCGAAAGTTAAACACCGTCTCTGGCTCGTCTTGGTACGTCGTCTCTTTGCGGACCGCTTCGGCGAAAGCCGGCCTCGACCTCTTTCCCTCAAAAGCCGCTCTCTTCTCCCTCTCCGCAGAGGTTCGTTCCCTTCCTCTCCTCAGAGGCTCAAATCCTTCTAAGTTCCGGCTCCTATTTTTTTAATTTACGCCCCTTTTTTTTTGCCGGCCGTCTGTGTTCTATCTCCTTTCTTCTCATGACTTCGTTCCCACTCTCTGCACTTTTCCCTATCTTCACGTGGTTTCTCCTTGTACCAGCGAGTGGTGGTATCTTCTGCAAGAGAACAACGCTCCTCCTCTTCCATCTTCCCGACCAGACTACCTGACGCCATGTCCCTGATGTTTCAGTCCTCCTTTCTAATTCCGTCCACGTGACCTGCTGACTTTAAGCCTTTTCTCAGTTTTACTTGCTATGTTTGTATCCGATCTATTCTCCTGGTCCGATTATCCCAGGTTCCTATCTCTCCTGCCTGGAGATCTCATGCCCTCAGGAGTCCCGTAGCTCAGCGGTCAGAGCACTCGCCTCGCAAGCGAGAGGACCTGAGTTCGATTCCCGGAAGGGTGAAATGTTGGGCAAGTTTCGGTACGTTGGAACCCAGTTGTTAGTCGATCAGTGGATCGCTTTTCCGGGGGTAACAAATCCTTAAAAAAACTTGGGTGACTCAATCCACAACTGTTTGTGGGACGCTGCTGCGTGCAATTGGCTGTTGTGTTTTGCCCACAAAATAGTCAATTCGCTTCACAGCGTATCCTGTGAAGCGCTTTGAACCATCTCGAAGACGTGATCAGGCGCTCTATCAAATGCAAGGATTATTATTATTATTATAGCAAGCAATAATGCTAATGAAAGAGACTGGAGAAAGCGCCCACCATTGTGAGGGATCGGAAGTTGTTGGGAGTTTGTGAGCTCCTGTTCTCCAGCTCCCTTAATAATAATATAATCCTTTCACTTGACACAACGCCTTATCACGAGAGGGTGATGGAAGGAATGGTCCATCCAAGGAACCTCTTCAGGCAGGATTTGATGGCGGGGAGGGAAGGGGGCAAGGCGGCGGGATTGAGGGACAGAGTTCCAGAGTTTCGGGGCGTAGTGGCTGAAAGCTCGGTCACCAACGGTAGAGCGGAGGGGACGGGGGATTAGTATACATCAGAAGAACATCGCACGATGCTTCTGGGTGTTGACTATTTTAGAGGTGAACACTTCCTCACCACTTTAAGGCACTTGTTCTGCTTCAAAATGGCTCCCTTACGTTTGCTTACAGGTTATGGTTATATGGAGCTCTGCAGCTTTGGTTAGAGCACTCCCTCGCGAGCGAGAGGACCTGGGGCGGGGCAAAACCTGAGACAAACTTCCTTACTCCACACGCACACACACATACACACCCCTCTATTTACCTAACAGTCAATAGAAACCCATTTGTTAAGTCACCGCGCTTTGCAGTGTATCCTGCGAAGGATACGTCTCGAGGATGTTGTTAATGATTCGAACAATCAGACAGATCTGGACGTAAAAAGCCTTGGTTTTATTCCACGCTGGGTTCCGGCTCCCGCTCTGCGCTCGCCCGCGCTCCCAGAGGTTCCAGTTGCAGCCAGATCCCTCGCTCGGTCCTCAGTATGAGCTCCGGCTTCCTGCGCACAACTGCCGTCGGCTCCAGCTTCAACCGGAAGCGGTGGAGGGTCAGGGCCACGGCAACCTTCAGCTCCGCCATGGCAAAGTTCTGCCCGATGCAGTTCCTGATGGGAGAAAATTAACAGAATAATAATAATCCTGGCATTTGATACAGCCCCTGATCCCATCTTCAGGACGTCTCAAAGAGTTTAACAGAGTGCACTGCAAAGTGAATTGTCCGTGTATTTTGTGGGCGAAACACGGCAGCCAATTGCGCACAGCAGCGACCCCACAAACAGTCATGGATTGAGTGACCGAATTGGTATTTTTGGGGGAAGGAATTATTACCCCCAGAAAAGCAACCCGGCAATCGACTAACAACCAGTTACTACTTACTGCTGGGCAAACAGGCGTGAAGTAGGGAAACTTGCCTATGGTTTCACCCTGACCCGCCCGGGAATCGAACCCAGGTCTCTCGCTTGCGAAGCGAGTGCTCTAACCACTGAGCTACACAGGGCTCCACAATGGATGTTAAGCTACACGGTTACCAACCAGATGTTTCGCCCCCTCCCACCCTGAGCGAGCAGAGAGCCCAGCAGCGTGAGGAGGAAACTGAGTGATGTGGAACAGGGTGAGAATTCTGTTAAGGAATTTGGTGAGAGTGGGAATTCTTGAGCCAGAAAGAACTAGAGACCAAGAGAAAACACTTACTTTCAGCAAAAGAGAGGGAATTGTTTCTTGAGCCAGAGAGAACTTTTGAAGCAAAGCAGGTGAACAAGTCAAATGGATAGTTAGTCACAGGCCAAGTGTTAGGGATTAGTTAATCAGTAATTATTTGCTGACCCGTTGAAACTGGTTGTGTCAGAGGCCTTTATAAAGGGGAGGATCGCGAGAGCCCTCACTCGATCAGAGAGCCCAGCAGCGTGAGGAGGGAACTGAGTGAAGTGGAACAGAGCGAGAATTCTGTTGAGGAATTTGGTGAGAGTGGGAATTCAACGCAGCCACAGAGGGTTCAGAAGGAGAGTGAGTGGGTGACCACCTGGCATGGTAGGAAACCATCACAAACCGGTTCTCTGTACTGAACACCAGTCAGGATCATGACATCTCTGGGGAGAGGAGTCAAATGAAAATGGATGCACAGCGGGACACAGGGAAGAGTGTCAATGCAATTGTCATTGGGGACACAACAGTGAAAGGAGCAGATAGGCGTTTCTGCCATCAAAGACGTGACTCTCACGTGGTATGTTGCCTCCCTGGTGCCAGGGTTGAAGACATCAAGGAAAAGGGGCAAAACATTCCACACGGGAAAGGGGAACATCCTGAGGTCGTGGTCTACATTGGAATCCATGACGTAAAGGGGGGAAAAAAAGCTGATTTCCTACAGGGAGAGTATCAGAAGCGAGGGAACAAGCTGAAGAGCAGGACCTCGGGTATGGTGATCTCCGGATTACTCCCAACTAAACAAGGCTGGGACCAGTGCCCTCGCAGGGAGGTTAACGAGCTGTGGGGAAGGGTTCAAACTAATTTCGAGGGGAGGAGGGAATGAGGATGTAACATCCGAGGGTCCAGATGGGATACATCCTAGGCTACTGAGGGAAGTCAGGGTGGAAATGTGCCCTCCTTGGACCCAGGGCTGGTGCCAGAGGACTGGAGGGTTGCAAACGTGACTCCCCTGTACACAAGGGGGCAGAAGGATAAACCCGGGAACGACAGGGCAGTCGGCCCAACGTCAGTACTGGGGAAACTCCTAGAGACTGTAATCCGGGACAAAATAAATTTTCACTTAGAAAAATATGGGTTAATAAAGGATATCCAACGTGGATTTGTTGAAGGCAAATCATGTCCAACAAACCTGATAAGAGTTTTTTGATGAAGACCCACTGCTGTTTTTGATCTGTATAAATGACTCGGACTTGGGTATAGAGAGGACAATTTGCAGATGATACTAAGCTGGAAAAGCAGTAAACAGTGAGGAGGACAGTATCAGACCACAAGGGGACATAGACAGACTGGTAACATGGGCCGAGAAGTGACAGATGAAGTTTAATGTGGAGAAATGTGAAGTGATGTATTTTGAGAGGAAGAATGAGGAGAGGCGATATAAGGTGATGGTACAATCTTAAAGGGGGTGAAGGAACAGAGAGACCTGGAGGTTCATATAAGTAAATCCTTGAAGGTGGCCGAACAGGGAGATAAAGCTGTTAAAATAACATATGGGATACTGGGCTTTATAAATAGGGGCAAAGAATACACTGGTTGGGGCTCAGCTCGAGACTGTGTTCAGTTCTGGGCCCCACACGTTAGGAAGGATCTCAAGGCATTGGAGAGGATACAAAGGAGATTGACCAGAATTGTACCAGGAATGAGGGACTTCAGTTATCAGGAGATAGAGAAGCCGGGAATAGTAAGTAGTTATCGCTCTCCCTCAAACCCTCCGCCTCACCCCCTCTATCCCCCTTTTCAAGTCCCGTTTGAGAACCTTCCTTTTTGACCGCACTTAAGGCCTCCTCAAACCCTCCCCCCACCCACCCACCCATCGGTCGAACGGGAAGGTTTTCAGGCACGACCTGGAGATGGGGAAGGGGGGGGGGGTGGGGGGGGGTAAGGTGGAGGGACAGAGGGAGAGAGTCGAAGGTTAACCGTTGCTGAACCGCAGACTGGACGAGTGGGCGAGACACGTACCTGGGCCCCGTGGAAAAGGGAACGAAGGCGTGAGAGGAGCGGGTCTCGGAGTTCTCGGGGCTGAAGCGATCGGGGTTATAAACCTGTAACAGCAACGCTCCCCCCGTCACTCCCTGAGCCAGTCGTCCACCCCTCCCTCTCGCCCCCCCCCCACCCCTCCCTCTCGTCCCCCCCCCCACCCCTCCCTCTCGCCCCCCCCCACCCCTCCCTCTCGCATCCCCCCCACCCCTCCCTCTCGTCCCCCCCACCCCTCCCTCTCGCCCCCCCCACCCCTCCCTCTCTCCCCCCCCACCCCTCCCTCTCGTCCCCCCCCCCCCCACCCCTCCCTCTCGCCCCCCCCACCCCTCCCTCTCGCCCCCTCCCCCCCTCCCTCCCCCTCTTCGCCCCCACCCACCCTCCCTCTCGCCCCCCCACCCCTCCCTCTCGCCCCCCCACCCTCCTCTCGCCCCCCCACCCTCCCTCTCGCCCCCCCACCCTCCCTCTCGCACCCCCCCACCCCTCCCTCGCCCCTCCCTCTCGCCCCCCCACCCCTCCCTCTCCCCCCGGCAGACAGCTCCCAGCTCTGTTCCCCTCGGGGTAGAACGGTGGTGGGGGGGGGGAAGAGGTTACCTCAGGCTCTGGCCACACCGTGGGATTATGGTGAGTTCCGTAGATGCTGATTAAACAGATGTTTCCTGCAACAGAAAGAAAAAGGAGGCGAAGTCTCTCAAAACTCCCAGTAAATAAATCCCCGAACAAGGGACAACAACAACAACAACAACTTGCTCTCACACCGGACAGCATCTCGAGGTGCTTAACAGTGGCGGAGCTCGATGCCGAGCCCGGTGGACGTGGTGGGGGGAACGTGACCGACCGTAGGCACGGATAATTCCCAAATAAGAGACCATTCCGCTCCAGGCACATTTCCTCCGCCCAAACCCCCCCCCCTCCATCCCCCACAGTGTGTATCCAACACGGTCTCTTTAGGAGTGAATTCAGGAGGCGTTTTTTTTCCCCCCGCAAAGGCTCGTGGTAATCTTATCGCGTCATTGAGACGTCTCAAAGCGCTTCACAGAGTATACGATAAAGTGAATTCGCGGTGTGTATATATTCGGTGCGGAGTAAGGAAACTCGCCTCGGGTTTCGCTCTGACCCGCCCGGGAAAAGGTCTGCTTAGATCTAATCAACCGGCGGAAAGGCTTCGATGGGTTGAATCAACGACGACAACTTCTCTTGTGGTTCCCCCCCCCACAATGTGCGCCCGCCTCCCCCCAGAGTTTGTGGACTCGCTCCCAGGCGGAGAGTCCGTTAGCTCAGCGGATAGAGCGCTCGCCTCGCCAGCGAGACACCTGGGTTCGATTCCCGGGCGGGACAGGGCAAAATATTGGGCAACTTTCCTCACTCCACGCACACGCGCGTGCGCGCGAATGCCTCGGTTTACCCAACAGTAAGTAGGAACCGGTTGTTAAGTCGATCGGCGGATTGTGTTCCTGGGGGTAATAATCCCTTCAAAGAAAATCTAACAACAATAAATAGTTTGGTCAGTCAATCCGCGGCTGTTGGTGGGACGCCGCCGTGCGCGACTGGCTGCCGCCTTTCGCCCACGAAACACGGCCAACTTGGAGACGCCTCGAAGACGTGACAAGGCGCTGTATCAAACGCAAGGATCATTGTGATGGCCGTTATTATCTCTCACTCACCCTTGGGGATGATTCTGCCGTCCGGGAGCCGGATGTCCTCCGTGCAGGAGCGAGCCACAGTGGTGACGGCTGGGTGCAAGCGTAGACTCTCCTTGATGCACATGGTGGTGAAGGGCATCTGCGAGAGGTGGTCCCTGGGCACAAGGTACGTACGTCAGGGCAGAGAATTAGCCCAACCGGCTTCCGACGCGCCACCCGCCAACAACCAAGATGCCCGACCCGATCCGCCACACGCACCACCCCAGCTGCACATAATGCAGCCACACGCGGGTGGGTCGCTTGGCCCACAAAAATACACACAGTCGCTCCACTACACCCTTTCGTCCCGCGAAGCGCTTCGAGACGCCTCGAAAGACGGGACGAGAGGCGCGATATCCAACGCAAGGACTGAGTCAGAATTCACATCGGTTCCGACCATCGGCGGCCGGGCTTTCAGCCACTACGCCCCCGAACTCCGGAGCTCTCTTCCTCTAGTTTTTTGTGGGCGAAACGTGGCAACCAGTTACCACCGACAGTGCAACAACCCCCCCACACCCCCCCACCCCAGGGCTGCATTGGAGCGTCGTGAGATTCCAGGGCTCACCACTCCAGGTCCTCACTGCCGTTCTCCTTCAGCAGCTGCGCAATCTCCTCCCGGCATTTCTCCTGGTACTCGGGATGTCTGGCCAGATTGTACAGCGCCCAGGAGATGGCACTGGCCGTGGTGTCATGTCCTGAGGCAGAAACGACAACGGGGTCTTTCACAATCGTAATAATAATTAATAACAAATAACTAATAATTGATCACAACAAAATATTAATAGCAGGTACGAATAACCAGTGATAATAATTCATGATAAGTAATAATCATTAATGATCATTAATAATAATAATTCTTGCATTTGATACACGACAACTTGCCTTTATAGGGCGCCCTTCGCGCGGGGTAGCGTCTCCGAGTGCTTTCAGGGGGCCGTTTGCGGGGGCGTTCGCCGGGCGCGATCGGCTGCCGCGTTTCGGCCGCAAAAACACGCGGTCGCTCCGCTTTGCAGCGTATCCCGTGAAGCGCTTTGACGACGCGATCAGGCGCCGGATCAAGCGGATCAAGATTATTATTGTTATTATCTCACGACCTTCCTCTTCGACCGCGCCTTCGGAAACTGCCCGCGGTTCCTGCGGCACGAACAGAGCGCGTGTTCAGCTTTCGTCTCCCGCGATCCGGGCCCCGAGACTCACCCTCGAACATGAAGGTGTCGGCCTCCGACTGAATCTCCTCGTCCGTCAGCCCGTTCCCCTCTTCGTCCTGCAGGGAGAACGCTCCATCAGCTCCATGGCCGGCCTCCCAGCTCCCACCACGTGCAAACGGTGTGCTGTGCTGTGTGTGAGCTGCGTGCGAGCCGCGCGCTGTGTGTAAACCACCTGCTATACTGTGGGTAAACCATGTCAACTTTGCTGTGTGAAAGCTGTGTGCTGTGCTGTGTGTGAACCGTGTGCTGTCCTGCGTACTGTGCGTAAGCTGGGCGACGGGCGATGCTGTGTGCTGCGTGTAAGCTGTGCGGCGTGCTGCGTTGCGTGCTGTGCTGTGTGCTGTGTGTAAGCTGTGCTGTGCTGTGTGTAAGATGTGCTGTGTGTAAACTGTGCTGTGTGTAAGCTGTGCTGTGTGTAAGCTGTGCTGTGTGTAAGCTGTGCTGTGTGTAAGCTGCGCTGTGTGCTGCGTGCTGTGCTGTGTGTAAGCTGTGCTGTGCTGTGTGTAAGCTATGCTGTGTGTAAGCTGTGCTGTGTGTAAACTGTGCTGTGTGTAAGCTGTGCTGTGTGTAAGCTGTGCTGTGCTGTGTGTAAGCTGTGCTGTGTGTAAACTGTGCTGTGTGTAAGCTGTGCTGTGTGTAAGCTGTGCTGTGTGTAAGCTGCGCTGTGCTGTGTGTAAGCTGTGCTGTGTGTAAGCTGCGCTGTGCTGTGTGTAAACTGTGCTGTGTGTAAGCTGTACTGTGCTGTGTGTAAACTGTGCTGTGTGTAAGCTGTGCTGTGTGTAAGCTGTGCTGTGTGTAAACTGTACTGTGCTGTGTGTAAACTGTACTGTGCTGTGTGTAAACTGTGCTGCGCAGAAACTACGTGTAAACCAGACGTTCAGAGGGAACCTCAATATAAGGGATTAACCACTGGCCGCGATTTGGTTCATTCCGCGCTTACACGCCAGGGGATCAACAATCTCTCACACAACACACAGTCACTACACTTCGGAGATGCCTCGAAGACGTGATCGGGCGCCGGGTCAAACGCAGGGACCGTTGTTGTTATTGCGCAGCAACGAGTGCAAAATATTGGGACAGTTTGGCCGAAGTACCTCATACCGTCTCACTCCCCACCCACCCCACCACCCGCTGCCCCCCCCCCCCCCTCCGGCCTCCGGCCTCCCGCTTGTCCCGTGTGGCCTCCGCTCCCCCAAAACTATGGAACATTCTCCCTCTATCCCTCCCTCGGCCTTAACCCCTTCCTTCCCCCACCGCCCCCCCCCCCCCCCCCACCCCCGCCCGACCTTCAGGTCAAGCCTGATGACCTCCCTCTTCGACCAGCGCCTGCAGTCATCTCCCCCCTCCCTCGTGCCCCCCCAGGCTCTGCATGGCGCTCCAGCGCAGTCCCGGCGCGAGGCGGCGGCGCTCGGGCGGACGCCAGCCGTGCCGTTGACGTACCTTCGAGAGCAGCAGGATATCGAGGAAGTCCAGGACCTTGCCCCTCTTGGCCTGGTGCCAGGCGGGCATGTCGGCCTCGGGCAGGGCCTCGCGGCGCCGCTGGACCACCCCCAGGGAGTAGGCGTGGACCAGCCCGCACGCCCGGCGGAAGCGGCGGCCGTTGGCCGAGAGCCAGTAGATGGCGTTGAAGTGGTGGGGCAGACAGCGCTCGCGGGCCACCACCAGGGAGCTCAGCTCGTAGATCGCCGCGATGTACTCGCTCGACTCTCTGGAAGAGCGATAGGTCGGTAAGGCAGGAGGGCGAAGGGTTAATCCCCCCCACCCCGCCCGCCCGACCCTACCCCCCCCCACCCCCATCTCAGACCCCGGCCCCTACCCCGGTCCCACCCCTCAACCCCATCTCAGACTCCGCCCTCTAACCTGCCCCCCTCCAACCCCATCTCAGACTCCGCCCTCTAACCTGCCCCCCTCCAACCCCATCTCAGACTCCGCCCTCTAACCTGCCCCCCTCCAACCCCATCTCAGACTCCGCCCTCTAACCTGCCCCCCCCAACCCCATCTCAGACTCCGCCCTCTAACCTGCCCCCCCAAACCCCATCTCAGAGCCCGGCTCCTACCCTGGTCCCACCCCTCAACCCCATCTCAGATTCCGCCCTCTAACCTGCCCCCCACCAACCCCATCTCAGACCCCGCCCTGCCCTGGCCCCCCCAACCCTCCAACCCCATCTCAGAGCCCGGCTCCTACCCTGGTCCCACCCCTCAACCCCATCTCAGACTCCGCCCCGGCCCTGGCACCACCCCCCTCCAACCCCATCTCAGACTCCGCCCTCTAACCTGTCCACACCCCCCACACACACCTCTAACACTATCTCAGACCCCGCCCCTGAGCTGCCCTGCTCTAACTCCGCCCCTGACCACACCCCAGATCCCACCCCTGACTCCGCACCCCAAACGGCCCACGGACTCCGCCCTCGAACCCACCCAGGCCCCCGCCCCTGAGCCTCCCGTCTTAACCCCGCCCCCTAACCCTTCCAGTACCCACCCCTACGCCCACCACCCTGACCCCAGCCCCAGAGCCCACTCCAGGCCCCGCCTCCCCCTGGCCCTGCCTCTAAACCCACCACCCGGCCCCACCCTGACCCGCCCCACCCCCTCTCTCTCTGTTCTCCGCCCGACGCTCACTGCTGGCAGTTGCTCTCGAAGCTGAAGGTGCACTTCAACAAACTGTCCAGAGTCATCAGGCTGACGTGTTCAAACATCTCCAGGCTCGTTGCCCCCTCTGTTAGCAGACGCCGCCATTTCTCCTGCAACGCAATAGTCACGGCATCAGTCCGCACCTCGCTCCCCCGCTGGAGCTCTCTCTACTCTAATCCCTTTCCCCTGCGCTCGCTCTCGCTCTCTCTCTCTCTCTCTCTCTCTCTTCCCCCCACCCCACCCCGCCCATCGTGTCTGTGCTGGGGCTCGCTCCCCCAATGTAACGTGTTGTTGGAAGTTGTTGTTGTTGTTGGAAGGTGGTGGTGGTGGTGTTGTTGGAAGGTGTTGTTGTTGGAAGGTGTTGTTGTTGGAAGGTGCTGTTGGAATGTGGTGTTGTTGGAAGGTGGTGTTGTTGTCGTTGTTGGAAGGTGTCGTTGTTGTTGTTCGGGGCACAGACTCACATGCAATACATTAGTTGACGTGCTGAAGGTCTTGACGTAGGGTTTGAGGATGTTGAAGTGAAAGGCCGGGGTGAGGAGACGACGGTGTCGGGACCAACGTTCCCCACTGCTGATCAGCAGACCCTCACCTGCAGCGAAACGTTCAACACCTCAACAACTTTCTTCACAAGTTCTTCTTCACAAGGGAGGACAAGCTTGCAGGGCTATGGGGGAGAGAGCGGGGGGAGTGGGGCTGATCGGGGCTATGGGGAGAGAGCGCGGGGGGAGTGGGGTTGATCAGGGCTATGGGGGAGAGCGCGGGGGGAGTGGGGTTGATCAGGGCTATGGGGGAGAGCGCGGGGGGAGTGGGGTTGATCAGGGCTATGGGGGAGAGCGCGGGGGGAGTGGGGCTGATCGGGGCTATGGGGAGAGCGCGGGGGGAGTGGGGTTGATCAGGGCTATGGGGAGAAATGTTTTATTGTTGTTTTACTCTGTATCTAACGCCAAAACTTTACTGTGTATCTAACGCCAACCCTTTGCTGCGCGTCCAACGCCAACTCTTTGCTGCGCGTCCAACGCCAACTCTTTGCTGCGCGTCCAACGCCAACCCTTTGCTGCGCGTCCAACGCCAACTCTTTGCTGCGCGTCCAACGCCAACCCTTTGCTGCGCGTCCGACGCCAACCCTTTGCTGCGCGTCCAACGCCAACTCTTTGCTGCGCGTCCAACGCCAACCCTTTGCTGCGCGTCCGACGCCAACCCTTTGCTGCGCGTCCGACGCCAACTGCTGCGGGTCCGACGCCAACCCTTTGCTGCGCGTCGAATGCCAACCTTTGCTGCGCCGCCAACCTTTGTCCGACGCCAACCCTTTGCTGCGCGTCTCCAACCTGCGCGTCCAACCCCAACCCTTTGCTGCGCGTCCAACGCCAACCCTTTGCTGCGCGTCCCACGCCAACCCTTTGCTGCGCGTCCGACGCCAACCCTTTGCTGCGCGTCCGACGCCAACCCTTTGCTGCGCGTCCGACGCCAACCCTTTGCTGCGCGTCCAACGCCAACCCTTTGCTGCGCGTCCGACGCCAACCCTTTGCTGCGCGTCCGACGCCAACCCTTTGCTGCGCGTCCGACGCAACCTGCTGCGCGTCCGACGCCAACCCTTTGCTGCGCGTCCGACGCCAACCCTTTGCTGCGCGTCCGACGCCAACCCTTTGCTGCGCGTCCAACGCCAACCCTTTGCTGCGCGTCTGACGCCAACCCTTTGCTGCGCGTCCAACGCCAACCCTTTGCTGCGCGTCCAACGCCAACCCTTTGCTGCGCGTCCAACGCCAACCCTTTGCTGCGCGTCCAACGCCAACCCTTTGCTGCGCGTCTGACGCCAACCCTTTGCTGCGCGTCTAACGCACACCCCACCTTCGGGCTGGAGAAAGGGACATAAAAACGTATAAACTTCTCACCTAACCACGGCCTCAGGAACCCATAGAAAAGCTCGTCTTTGAGGGCGACGGGAGCTGCAACAGAGGCCAACGATGAGCAAAGTTCCCCCACACCATCCGCTAACGCTCCATCCCAACCAGGCCCCACCCGCTTCCCAACCAGGCCCCACCCGCTTCCCAGCCAGGCCCCACCCGCTTCCCAGCCAGGCCCCACCTGCTTCCCAGCCAGGCCCCACCCGCTTCCCACCCAGGCCCACCCGCTTCCCAGCCAGGCCCCACCCGCTTCCCAGCCAGGCCCCACCCGCTTCCCAGCCAGGCCCCACCCGCTTCCCAGCCAGGCCCCACCCGCTTCCCAGCCAGGCCCCACCCGCTTCCCAGCCAGGCCCCACCCGCTTCCCAGCCAGGCCCCACCCGCTTCCCAGCCAGGCCCCACCCGCTTCCCAGCCAGGCCCCACCCGCTTCCCAGCCAGGCCCCACCCGCTTCCCAGCCAGGCCCCACCCAGACAGGGCCAAACCTGTCGCCGCAGCAGCAGCAACAACAACAACAACGACAACGGTAATAATCCTTGGATTTGTCACAGCGCCTTATCACGTCTTTCGAGAATGTCATCGTAGCGTCAAAGAGAGGCCATTCGTCCCAGCGAGTCCGTGCCGGCTCTTTGATTAGAGCCGTTAATGTCAATCCCACTCCCCAGGTGAGAGCATTTCTTCTCACCTGCCCTCGGCTTCTCTTGGAGACCATTTTGAATCTGTGACCTCGAAGCGCTTCACAGAATAGACTGTAAAGTGTAGTGACTGTGTGTCCCCGCTTACCCCCCCAGTCCTGGCCAGACTGCACTGACCGCCTGTCCCAGAGAGGATCGATTACAAGATCCTCGCTCTCGTATTCAAATCCCTCTGCAACCCCCGACCTCTCTGACCTCCTCTCTCCCCAGCACAGTACCCGTTGCCTTCGTTCCTCCGGGTCTGGTCTCCTCCTCATCCCCCGAGTCCTCCGCTCCACCCTCGGGGGCCGTGCCTTCAGCCACTGTGCTCCGAGGCTCTGGAACTCCCTTCCTCACTCCCTTCGCCTCGGCCCTCTCTTCCTATTTTCAGGTCTCGGCTGAAGACCTTTCTTTTCGACCGCGCCTTTGGTCACCTTCGCCCACCCCCCTCCCCCCGGGCACGGCCCCGGGATCCGTTACTGTGAAGCGCTCCGAGACTCCATCCGACGTGGAGGGCGCTTTGTAAATCCAAGTTGTTGTTGTTGTTGTTGTTGGCGAAACATGGCAGCTGAGTCTCCCACAAACAGTCATGGATTGAGCGACCACACTTTTTGATTGAAGGGATTATTTCCCCCCCCCCCTCCCCACCCCACCCCGGAAAGCGATCCATCCAAACATCTAACAACCCCTTTGGCACTTCAGGGTCTTGGGACGTACGCCCGACGCGAAAGGCGCTATACAAACACAGTTTTATATTTTGTATTGTATTGCAACTCCAAAGCCCTTGTGCTCGTGTTTTACTGTCTTGGGGCATGTCTTGAACTGTTAAGGGAATGGTCAATCTCTCTCTCGCTCTCTCTCTCTCCCTCTCCCCCCCCCCGGTTAGTGTCAAAACAAGGGCGACGATGGTAAAATTAATGCCGAGGCAGGTTGGCTGTGAAATCAGGAAACATTTCTTCACACACAGAGGGTGGCGAGGATGTGCAATGAACACACGCTGACCCAAGAGGAAGTTTGCTACGTGAATGTCCTGTATGCAAACCCCCCACTTCCTGGAAGTCTGATAACACTGGGCACTGGGCGCGAGAACGCTTCCCACCCACCAACCCCGACCCTCTTCCCTCCCCTCTCCCCCCCCCCCCACCCCAGCCCCAGGCCACGAGTGAGACAGACAGCTGTCTGAACGATCACTCGCGAGTGACGTCAACTTTCAACCCATCTGATCTCTTCCTTCCTAAATGTCAGGTCTCAAAAGCGCTTCGCAGAATACATTGCAATGGGGGGGCGGCGTATGTTGCGGGACGAACGCGGCAGCCAATTGCGCACAGCACAGCGTCCCCACAAACAGTCGTGGATTGAGTGACCGATGTTATTTATCTATTTACTTATTGGGATGAGTTTATTACCCTTTCGGAAAGCGATCCGCCAATCGACTATCAAGCGGGTCCCTACTTGCTGATCGGTAAATACAGGCGCGTGCGTGCGTGAGTGCGTGAGTGCGTGCGTGTGCGTGTGGAGTAAGGAAACTTGCCCCGACATGGCCGGGAATCGAACCCGGGTCGGGAATCCATGAGATGAAACCAAAAACAGTAGCAAGAAGGGTGGGGGGGGCTCCCCTCACGCCTCTCTCTACCTGATGCCAGCAGGACACATTTGATGTAATCTGGGTGAAACAGCCTCACTATCGGGTAGATGGGTCCAAACCACGTGAGACAGCAGTGTACGTAGCGCTCGACAATGCCATTGACCATTGTTAGACCCTCCTCTGAGCTGCAAATCTAATGGAAGAAAGGGAGAGGGAAAAGGAGGGAGAGAGAGAGAGAGAGAGACACATAGAGAGAGACAGAGAGAGAGAGACAGAGAGAGACATACACAGAGAGAGAGAGAGCAGATAGAGAGATACAGAGAGAGAGGGAGGGAGAGAAAGGAATGGGGGTTAGAACATGCAAATCAAACTCGGGTTCGACTGGAGCTCAGCTCAGACTTAATCCACATTTATCCCCATTCCCAGTTTACGATCAGAAAGCTTCACAAAGTTTGAGTATTCCAATCGTAAACTGGGAACGGGGAGGAATCACAAAGCAGCGTTTCTCACCGGGATTTCTGAACAATTTATACTTAAATGACAGTAAGAATAATCCTCGCGTTTGATACAGCGCCTTATCACGTCGTTGAAAACGTCTCAAAGCGCTTTGCGGGTATCGCCGTAAAGCGAATTGACTGTATATTTTGTGGGCGAAATGCAGCCAATTGCCTCCCACAAACAGCCGTGGATTAGAGGACCAAATTATCATTATTCCTGTGTTTTTTTAAGGGCTCATTACCCCCCCGGAAAGCGATCCGCCAATGGACTAACAACCGGGTTCCTACGCACCGTTAGGTAAACAGAGACGTGTGTGTGTGTGTGTGGAGTAAGGAAACTTGCCTCAGGGTTGGCGCTGACCGGGAATCGAACCCAGGTCCTCTTGTTTACGACACGAGTGCTCTAATCCATACCCTACAGGGCTCCCACCTTGCAACAAGTAGGGGATCTTTCCAGCACATTGAATGGGGTTAGAGTAGAGTAGAGAGCTCCAGTGGGGAGGGGGGGGGGGGGGAAGCGAGCATCAGCACAGACACGATGGGGGGGGAGAGAGAGAGAGGGCAGCGATTGGGGTTAGAGTAGAGAGAGAGCACCCGTGGGTGGGGTGGGGGGGGGAAGAAGTGTATGGCCTCCTCTTGCATTGTAAACACAGTGTGGACTGTGGGCTATTAGGTTAACTCCACAAGGCCGGCCATTTTCTTGCACCCAACCCAAAAACTCAAGGTCTACCAGGACTACAATACAAGAAGAACCACAGAAACGGACCCATTAGGAGGCCATTCAGACTCTATCTGTCGTGTTGGTCCAACCACCCAACCATCCTAACCTCCTGCTCTTTCCCCGTCCCCTCTAATACCCTTCTCAACACTACATCCCTATGTCCAGTTCCAGTTACCACCACTAATAATACCAATCCTCGAAGTTAACACCGAGCCTTATCGCGTCTTCGGGACGTGTTAAGCGCTTCACGGAATGCGCTGCAAAGTGAGCGGACTGTGTATTTTGTGGGCCAAACGCGGCAGCCAACGGACCAACCAACCGGGCTCGCGGTGGGCGGGCGGGCGGGTAGTGTGTGTGTGTGTGTGTGTGTGTGGGTGGGTGGGTTTGTGTGCGTGCGCGGAGTAAAGAAACTTGCCCAATGTTTCGTTTAGTCGAGAGCTGCGCGCGTCGACGTGCAATTGCCGTCAGGGAGAAGTCTTTAGGTTTTGTGCAATTTCCTCTCTCAGTTGGTCCTCCGACTCTTTATCTTCACAGACGCTTGACCCACATCCTGGTCGTACGTCAGCGAGCCAGGCTACCGAGACGCTGCCTCCGATAAGACATCTATCGCGTCGAAACCACCTCAAAGCGCTTCGCACCGGCTTCCCGATAAGGCTGGTGACTGTGCGTTTTGCCACACGAACGCAGCCGCCAATTGGCACGCGGCGATGTCCCACAAACAGCCAAGGAGGTGAATGACTCGTGTTTCTGGATTATTATCTCTCGCACCAGGCACCATGAGCTTCTCTCACACACACACACGCCCCACCCGCCCCACCCACGCCCTCACCCTCGCTCAGCTACACCGGCTCTCCGGCTCCCAGAGGACTGAGTTCAAAATCCTCTTCCTCACTTCTAAATCCCAACGCTTTACCTCAGAGACTTTCTTAAATCTTACCCACCCCCCCCCCCCCCCCACACCGCTCGGTGGGCAAATGGCCCGCTTCACGAACCCCCCCCCCCCACCCAGCCTTGCCCACCAGGCCTTCAGCATTTCTGCCCCCGCTCTGTGGAACTCCATCCCTTCACCTCTTCCCTCATCTCCTTCCAGGTCCAACTTTGACCGTGCCTTGTGTCATCTCTTCCACCCCTCCCCATTCCCTACAAGTCCTGACGTGGGGGCTTGAACCCACAACCTTCTGACTCAGAGGTGAGGGCTCTATCGACTGAGCCAGACTGACCTGACAATGCAAATAGGCCGGCTGATCGCATATCTGATCAGTATCTCTGCTAGGATCAATTTCTGGGAACATTGGGCACGAGATAAGCAGATGTGTTGCTCGAACTACAAAGAACAGAGTGTGGAGAGTGGCCTCTGTACTCTGCCGTGTGTGGGTGATATGCACCTCGTCACAGGGTCTGTGACGCTACAGGAAACCGAGGAACTGAGAGATCGGTAGATTAATTGGCAGAACATTGCTAATTGATAATAATAATAATAATAATCCTCGCATTTGATGCAGCGTCTTATCACGTCGACGAGACGTCCCAAAGCGCTTCACAGCATATACCTACCGTAAGGTGTTTTTGCTGGTGAAACGCGGCAGCCAATTGCGTACAGCAGCGTCCCACAAACAGTCGTGGATTGAGTGACCAAATTATTATTTATTTGAAGGGAAAGCGATTTGCCAATCGACTAACAGCCGGGTTCCTACTAACTGCCAGGTAAACAGAGGCATGTGTGTGGAGTAAGGAAACTTGCCTAAGGTTTCACCCCGACCCGCCCGGGAATCGAACCCCGGTCCTCTCTGCTTGTTCTGACCACCAACTCTACGGGACTCTATTTGGTTCTGCTTCTTAACGGTCAACATCACCTGACGACCATTCAGTACCTGATGCGAGGAGCACTGGTTTAAGGTAATCGGGGTGGAACAGTGAGATTAAGGGGATGAAGGGCCCCAACCAAGTCTTCATAGTAAAGTGGAACTGTGAGACCAACTGCGCTATGAATCTCAGGCCTTCCTCATCTGGGTTGATCTGCGGCCAAAGCAACAGAAAACACAAAGAAGCTCAGGGTTAGACGCGACACAGCGGCGGAGAGAACAGTAGTGCCAAAGCACAAACCCAGCGCAGCAAAGCATATCCGGGACGTTGTGGCAGGATTTCAGCACTTTGTGTTGAACGCAAGAGCTTGGAGCCAAGCCAGAAGAAGCCAAGGTCTTTTCCAGCACGGGCACACCTTTCCATCTTGCATTTATACCAGTGAACCCGTAAAGCGGTGGTGGGGAGGGGTGGGCGCAGCGCGAGGCAGAGGGAGGTCAGAGCCAGCCGAGCGGAGGCAGAAGATGGTGGGGGGGGGGGGGGGGGGGGGGAGGAAGCAGGGTCGGAGGGGTAGGGAGGTGCCGGGGCGTGAAGGGCTTTGCAGACGAGTTCGAGGGTCTGGAAATCGATCCGTTCTGTGAGAGGGAGCCGGTGGAGCCTGGCGAGGACCTGCAATCAATGCGTGTTAAAGAGCGAGGAGAAAAGCGTGTGTTTCATAGCACCTTATCCTCTCAAAACGGATCTGCAAATCACCAGTGTTCTCTTGTAGGCGGATGCAGCAGCCTATTTGGCTGCCCCGCGAGATCTTTAATGTCCACCTGACCGGGGCACGGACGGGGAGTGAGGTTTACTGTCTTGATGCGTCACTGCATCTCTGACAATACAGTGTTGAGCACAAACACCCATCAGCACTGCACTGGGTGGGGGGGGGGGGGGTCAACCCGGACTGACAGATCAAGTCCCGATGTGAAGTCCCGACTTGCTTCGAGGCCCAATAGAGCGTCAACCAAACCAGGGAGGTCTCACACACACGCACCCAAACACACACGCACCCAAACACACACACATACACTCACTCATGCACATACACACGCATACACATACACGGGCACACCCGCCCCCCCCCCCCACCACCCACACGTACCATCCCCCCACCCGCACACATCTACATACACATATAACAACAACTTGTATTTACACAGCGCCCTTCACATGGTGGAGTCTGACCCCGAGCCGGGGGAGAGGGAGGGAGGGAGACGGGGAGAAGGAGACGGGGAGGTGACCGTAAGCACGATCAAAAAGGAAGGTCTTTAGGGGGGGATTTGACAGTGGGGAGGGAGGGGGAGGGAGGGAGGGAGGGAGGGAGGTGGGGAGGGGCGGGAGGGAGGTGGGGAGGGAGGGACGGGGCAAGATACACAGCGGTGGCCAGGTTGCCCTAACCAGGGACCGGAGATCAGTCCGAGTGAAGTGAAGCTCCTACCAGTCCCAGGTGTCCCATCAGCCAGTTGCGGGGCGGTGGTCCCTGGAAGCACCTCAGCCTCTTCGTGTTGACCCAGAAGCCGTGGACCATGCAGAGGAACCGGAGGATGGCGCTGCCCACCACAGTGAGTGCCAGGACCAGTGTGGCGCCCAGCAGGTAGGCCCTACCCGTGGAGTGATCCAGACCCACAGCTCGCACCAACTCATCCCAAACCATCCTGTCCAGAGAGAGACGACCACAGGCACAATGGGAATCACTACAACTACACAGACAGCTACAACAATTTAATAATCATAATAATAAGACTTACATTTGATGACAGCGCCATAAAATATACAGTCAATACACACGTGTGTGTATGTGTTTGTGTGTGTGTGGGTGTGTGGAGATCATAGAATTATACAGCACAGAAGGAGGCCATTCGGCCCATCGTGTCTGTGTCGACTCTTTGAAAAGAGCTTCCAGATCAACTCCACTCCCCCCGCTCTCTCCCCATAGCCCTGATCAACCCCACTCCCCCCGCTCTCCCCATAGCCCTGATCAATCCTCGTTCACCCTATCGAATCCCCCAAAATAATTTTGAAAACTTCTATTAAGTCTCCTCTTAACTTTCTGTGCTCCGAGGAGAATAATCCGGCTTCTCTATCTCTCCTGATAACTGAAGTCCCTCATTCCTGGTACAATTCTGGTCAATCTCCTTTGTATCCTCTCCAATGCCTTGAGATCCTTCCTAACGTGTGGGGCCCAGAACTGAACACAATCTCGAGCTGAGGCCTAACCAGTGTATTCTTTGCCCCTATTTATAAAGCCCAGTATCCCATATGTTATTTTAACAGCTTTATCTCCCCGTCCGGTCACCTTCAAAGATGGACTTATATGAACCCCCCGGTCTCTCTGTTCCTTCACCCCCTTTCAGATTGTACCATCAGATCATATCGCCTCTCCTCATTCTTCATGAGAAATACTGTAAAGTGAATTGACTGCACGTTTTGTGGGCGAAACGCAGCAGCCAACTGCGTCCCACAAACAGCCGTGGACTGAGTGACCAAATTATTATTTTGTTAAAAGGGGTTATTACCCCCTGGAACGCGATCTGCCAACCGACTAACAGCCGGGTTCCTAGTTACTGCTGAGTAAACAGAGGAGTGAGGCGTAAGGAGACTTGCCCGGTGTTGCACCCTGCCGGGAATCCAACCCAAGCCTCTCGCTTGCGAGGCGAGAGGGCTAACCACTGAGCTACAGGACTCCGGGCAGTATCCGACGTTGGGCAAGAGAGCCCAGCATCCTGTTAGTCTGGTTTAACGCTGCGCGCACTGTTTTGACGCAGCGAGCAATGAGTCAACCAACGCTCTTTGTTATCTTTCAGCTTCCTTCCTTCCCCACCCCTCACCCCGGTGAGTTCTGCCCCATCTATGTGCAATTCACATTTAATAATAATAATAATAATAATAATCCTTGCATTTGGATACAGCTCCGTATCACGTTGTCGAGACGTCTCAAAGCGCTTCGCAGGAATGCACTGTAAATTGCAGTGACTTAAGGCACCAGTGCTTACGGTCACCTCCTTCCCCCCTCTATCCCCCACCCCACCCATCCCCCACCCCCGGCTCAGCGATCAGCTTCCGGCACTCTTCAGACGCCACCCCGAGTGAGTGGCGCAATCCAAATAAATGCAAGTTGTCGTCGTCGTTTCTCTGTGTGTTCTGTGAGCCAAACGCAGCAGCCGATTGCGCACACAGCAAATGTCCCACAAACAGCCGTGGATTGAGTGATTGAGTGACCGTTGTTGGCCAGGACGCCAGGAGAGGGGGAGCGGGGGAGGTGGCGGTCGAAGAGGAAGGTCTTCAGGCCCGACCTGAAGATGTGGAAGGGGGGAGGGATAGAGGAAGAGGGATAGAGGAAGGGGGAGGGATAGAGGAAGAGGGATAGAGGAAGGGGGAGGGATAGAGGAAGAGGGATAGAGGAAGGGGGAGGGATAGAGGAAGAAGGATAGAGGAAGGGGGAGGGATAGAGGAAGAGGGATAGAGGAAGGGGGAGGGATAGAGGAAGAGGGAGGGATAGAGGAAGAGGGATAAAGGAAGGGGGAGGGATAGAGGAAGAGAGTTCCAGAGTTGAGGGATATACATTGCCTTTCACTACTTGAGGACGGATGAAAATCCAGATCCTCTTTCTCGCATTCAAACCCCTCGCCCCGTCCCTATCTTTGTGACCTCCTTCACCCCCAGCGACCCGGTCACTCCCTCCCTTTGCACAGCCTGCTTGACATCTCCCCACCCTCCCTGACCCCCAGAAGTCTATCGAGAAGCCTTTGCGGCGTCCTCCCGAGATGAAAGGCGCAAACCCTCATCCCCTCCATCCCACCATCAGTGGCCGCGCTTTCAGCCACTACACCCCGAAACCCTGGAACTCTCTTCCTCTATCCCTTCCCTCCTTCCACGTCCTCAGGTCATGCGTGAAGACCTTCCTCTTCGACCGCGCCTACGGTCAATACGCTGTAAAGTGAACTGACTGTTTTGTTGAAGGGATTATTACCCCCGGAAAAGCGATCCGCCCATCGACTAACAACTGGGTTCCTGCTTACTGCCGGGTAAACGGAAGCGTGTGCGTGTGTGTTGAGTAAGGAAACTTGCCCGAGGTTTCGCCCTGACCCGGGAATCAGACCCGGGTCCTCTCGCTTGCGAGGTGAGTCCTTAATTGCACGCGGAATGAACAACAAGAACAAATGACATTGACCCGGCGCCTCTCACCTCGGGAGGACGTCCCACGGCGCTGGACAGTCGGGGATTTGGACCCGAGCCGGTGGTTGGGATCAGGAGGGCGGGGGGGGGGGGGGGGTTTGGGAGGTTGACCGAAGGTCCGGTCGAAGAGGAGTTTCGTCTAACAAAGGTAACGCGAGAAAATTCCCACCCTCGCTTGCGATCCGGGGAGTCGGGTTTGGACTGGACCCCAGTTTGGCTCCGTGGGCGTCAGCCGCTCAGCTGACGAAACGAGAGAGAGAGAGAGAAAAACAACACACAAACTGCGAACTGAGAGCCTCCCGTCCAGACGGCAGCAAATCCCAAGAATGAAGCAAATTCCCGGGAAATGGGCCAATGGAAAATGATGGCTTTACTGGCTGCAGAGTTGGTTTTCCGACGGTCTTCTGAGAGCGACTGAAATTTTTCAGGGACCTTGAAAGGCTCGTCTGCGTGGGATCAGACCAATAACTTGCGTGTGAGTCAGCAACCCGGCCTCCTCCATCTCCATATACCACATCCTCCCAGTTCCCACAGCAACAGCAACAACAACAACAACAACAACAGCGACAACGCATTACGTTTGCGTCAGGAGGACGTCCCAAGGCGCTGGACAGTCAGGGATTTGGCCCCCGCAGCTGAGGGTTGGGATCAGGAGGGGGTGGAGGGCGGGGAGGGTAGGCTGCAAAATACATAGTCCATCCTGTGAAGCCCTTTGAGTCGTCTCGAAGACATGATAGACTCTGTATCAAACGCAAGGATTATTATTATTATTATTATTATTATTATTACAGATGTTAAAAGATCTCCAGGGCTCTTTGGAAGAGTAGGGAGATTCTCACAGTGCCTTTCCTGTCCAATATTCACTTTGGGCCAAAATACAGATGAATTGGTCACTGATCTCAGCGTTGTTTGTGAGATGTCGTTGGCTGCGTTTGAGTTGCTGGAACTGAACAGGACAGTCCCTTGGTCTCACCTCCCACTCCCTTGCCTCCCTCAAGGCCCATCTCCAGACGCTCCACTTCCTTACAGCCGTGACCTGCTAACCCC